AAGATCAATCGCTCTCCATCGAGGCGATGACTCATAACTTATGCAGCTGTCAAGGCCGCCGTACATCCACTGAAATGCTGAAGCAGCGAAAAACCCAAAATATCGATCTGCTCAAGGCCGCCTAGTTCGGCAGGTCATTTAAATTCTATGCATTTAGCGCTATGACAATGGTGAAGCGGCACCCTTCTTCAAAACGCAAGGAATCCAATAAACCAGTTCAATGAGCGTGTCCTCTTAGGTTAATTTTTTATGTCCGCAAATCAACCAAGTTACTTTTTGGGGTTTTCTGGTCTGGACATTCCGTCATGTAGTTTGCAGTTTGAAACATAAAGTAGTCCACACTTCATGCCGCCAGGCGTCCATTAGTTAGACCGTGCTGCCGGACACCAACAAGTCCCTAGAACGCACAGAAAAACTGCTATATAAGCACAAGAAAAAAAATTGGAATTTTTCTGCAGAAATTCAACTGCTATCTGACTTTTTTTAGACCGACGTTATTTCTGCCTTGTAATTACTACTAAAAGGTAGCGTTTTTTAGCGATCGCAAAAAATGTTTTGTCCACAGTGCCTGGATAGAAGGCCAGCTGGCCAAACCGAGATGCTCAAGCCGTTAGCTCCAATATCCCAACCGTTTTTTGGAAGTCCTCTTACACTGTAACAAACCGTCTCAAAACCATCCCAACCGCCCTCATTCACTGAAATTTTTGGCAGGGCTGGTCTGGTCCGAGAACAAAGGATTTGCGCGGAAGCGACGGCGGCGGTGGTGGCTGTGTTGGAAGTAACAAAAAATCCGGCAGAAGGTTTTCAGTCCGGTTCTGCTGATTGCGGGCTGGTTCTAAGCGTTTTCTTGTTGTGCCGATCAGTAAGTTCAGACAGTTGTTGCATCATTCTGGATGATTCTGGACAGATGGAGGCGGAAGTGGGGGATCGGAACGAATTTCCTAGTCCACACTCTCAACCTTGCTGCTAGGAATGCCGGGTTTCATTAGGTGACAGGTTGTATATCACGGAGGACATACTACTTGCATGCTCTACAAGTAAGCTCCTACGACTGAGTCTGATAAGCCTTGCATCCGCGATGAAAAGCTGCCGGTTGGGCATTTGAAATGGTACTCCCGAGACCCTAGGATTCGGCGTCCGTTTCCTGTTTGCGTATTTTAAATTGCAGTCGATAGAAAACTTGAAGGGACAAAAGTGGGATAAAGGACCCCAATTTACTATAAGAATACTGCAGATTATGTCATGCGGGAGTGGTGGTAATGCGGGGTTTACGGGTGGGGCAGCAGGCATGACAGTAAGTTGACGGAATGCAGAAAGACACAGAGAACAGTCGGTGGCAAAAACGATACCGTCGAGCAAATAGACGAATGTATACAGATAGAGTATTTGGTTGGATAACCCATGGTCAGATTGTCAAAGCTGAGAGATCCGAGTTGATTATTTGGAGAAGATGATATGCTCTCCGGATGCTGACGTTTCAAAGAGTTTGGTCGGCTTTCCATTGTCAAAGCGTTTTGACAACAGAAAGCAGACCAAACTCATTGAAACGGTAGCATAAAAATAAGCTTGTTCCAGAGAACCTATATTCTTCTTAAAATATTCCACGGTGTTTCATCTTGAAGGAGTGTCTGACCATTGAACAACTGAGCCTATCCCCTGGCAGCCACTTCTGTTATCCCTCAGCTTATACCCAGTTGATCTCCGTTTGTAATTTCTCTGCTCTTGGATACAACTGCCAGTCATCACTACTTAACTAGGTTTCACGAGTAGATATAGTACGTGACCTATCCCATGGAACCTGATAACGAAAACTGATGTGAGAATTTCTGCCCATCTTAAACGTTGCGCATTTTGCTCGTACATGCAGCCACTTCAGTGAAATGTGCTTTTATTGTGCAGAAATTTTGTTCACATGACTATATCAAGCTAAGTGTTCCTACCTTTTGGCGAAAATGGACGTTGCGATATATTTATGCAATTTCCCATGTTAATACCTGACCTGAACTACGGTTGGGCATCTGGGTGAGTTTTTGTTACTGAAAGGAAAGTAATTTACTCTCGAGAATTTTAACAAACAGAGGTTTCCGGACTTGAAAATTCATTTTTGTCCCATGCCTACCGTCGTGATCAATTTGTTTACACAAAGGTCATTTTGAGAATACTGGAGGTTTTATCAATTTCTACATGTCAAATTAACAGATCTGTGCGACTTGTTGCCCTGAAGCACTGTAATAACACACACAGGCAATCCTTCGTTTAGATGGCATGAAATTGTTTTGCCGTTCTGAAAATTTTACTTGATGTCACGGAAATGGCCACCACAGAATAGTCATTTTTTATTTTGAACATTTGAAACATTATTTGTCGTGCAGTCTAGCTCCTGCACATGACATTTCAGAAACGGAACGAATAAAACGTTAACAGTTTTAGCAAAATATCAAGTTTTATATGGGCACTCTGCCGTGCATTTCCAATCGTAAAACGGAGTTTAAAAGCGAGCGCATCAGTGGAAATGACCGCAATATGTAGAGAAATGCATGTTCTTACGTTTACGGTAAAAAAGTATTAGTATGGTTTAGGAACTTTAAAGAAACGGCCAAAAGCGTCAAATGTTTTCTTGACCTTACCATGTAAGAAAGCAAAGTACCCAAATATCCGTCAACGGAGTACCCTGTTAAAGCACTCCTTAAAGACGTCAGTTATCAAATAAAGTTTTATAATTGATCTAATGCATATTCATTGCGGACATTCGTTGTGGACGCTCATTTTATTCGACGATGGGGTTTTCTGTTCCAGTGAATCCTTCAAAGTGACTCAAACGACTTTCGACATGACGAAGAACGTCCAAGCACTCGATACTTCGGAAAATGTCTTCAACAGTTATCTTATTTAAAACCTTTTAACAAACACATGGCACAGCCTCTGTCTTTTGTGGACGACCGGGGAAAACACTGAAAAGTATAAAGTATTCAGGAATATTTCGAGGCCGATCTGAAATTCGAGGTAATCCAAAACGAACGAAAAAGTCAAATTAATTTAACGGAAAAAATGTTTTCCTTAAGAGCGCAAAATGGTAGGCTTTCGATCATGCCTGATAATTCTATTTAAATTTATTAGTCTGATCGGCCTGGCGGCATGTTACATTATGAAAACTGTTGCACATACGACGTTCCTACCAAAATCCTGTTTCTCTGGTTGAACCGCATCCTAATCAACTTAGACAAGTGCAGAATGCCACGAAGACCTGGGAAGCCGTTTTGAAATCTATACTCAGACTGTAGGCTGCTGCTATATATGAAATTGCACCAATTATTAGAGAATATTTAGATGTAAACTTCATGGAAACGGTATTTTTAAAAGCTATTCCATGCGTGCTTTAATATTTCTTTAGTTTTTTTGCATGAGAAGCCATTCTATATATCTGAAAACGAAATCTATAAAATTATGGTTAAGGGATTTTAGAATTCTGCGCTTTTCTAAAAATGGCATTTCGAAGCAACACACCACCGCCTTTAGTTTTATGTTTTTAATTCCTTCAAAGTTACACTTAACTAACATAGATATTGCACCCATGAATTGGTGTCGGTTTGCGAGGGATTGACAATCATTCGTAAATTTCGACAACATTCATGGATTAGGTCACGCACTGTACGCCAGCACACGGTCCAAAGTCTACGGACAGCTCACTGGAGTTCTTCTATCTACAGTCGCCTTTTAAAGGAAATGATCATCACACCGGAAGAATTCATAACTTGTGTGAATATGACTTCTTCAAGGTTCGGAAGACTGGCCTAAATGTCATTGAGAAGTTGCTGACAGAACCGGGGTTAATCTTACCCTTAGCTTACCAAAATTTCTTTTCGTTAACGCAAATCATCAAAAGTATTCTAAATCGTTAGGTCAACATGGGAGTGGCCAACCACTTTGCCTCATTGAGTGAGAATAATGTACTGTGTGTGTTTTACCCTCCTATGTTACGCCCGCTCTCCGTTCACGCAGTTCGTCGCGTTGTGTGTGTGTGTGTTGTGTGGAGTGGCGGACGGGCTGAAACAGCACCTTCCACGGCACTCTCACGCAAGTGAGAGACACGCCGTTCAACCCCCGTTGTGTGAAATCCTGGTGTTGTGTGTATGGGGGGCCAGGTCATGCCGTGGCGCGCGCAGTCATGGTCAGTCGACCATGACAGCCACCGCGCCCATTCCCCACTCCAGTCTGCTGACCGGCTTGGACAGCGGCTGGGGTGTGAGAGTGGGAAGGGAGAGTGAGGTCGACGACTCAGCGCACTTTCTCCTCACTATAAACAATCTGACGCGCTTGAAGCTATCACGGTGCGCTAAAAGCCGTGGCTCGGAAGGTCGCCAAATGACGGGGTATCTTGGACCTCCTCCTTGACCGGAGGCGGTCTGAGAGTCAGGCTGCAATGGCTCTTTTTTAATGTGGCCTTTATGGCACTCCCATCACAGTGTGGGATCCGAGCCAGGCGTTGGCGGCACGCCCAGGTGCGGCGTCGGCCGTGCCAGCCTCCAAATCTCTGTTGTGTTGGTTGAAATCCTGGTTATTTGTTGTGTGGACCAGGGGGTGTGGTGGAGCGCCAAGCTGAGGATCCGTCCGAGCCACCCACCTGCGGCCTCTCTCGTCTCCGGTCTTCTTGTCTCTGTCTCGACACCGGGCTCGTGCGAGGGAGGATGAGAGAGTGTAGGTAGATGCTACGCAAGTCAACCGGCATTCTAAACCCCTGCGTAAGTCACCGTCCTTGCTCCCATTGCTGCTGCAACTGTGGGGCACACGGTGGAAATCATCGAAACCGATGGTCGAACTGTCACAGCCTAATCGGTCTACGCGTAGATGCCTGCCCAGTCTACCGTAGCACGTCCGTTCCATGTTATTTGACTTAATTTCAGAAGCGACATCAACGCCAAAAACCCCTCCATGACTACCCCGTTCCCGTTAGCACTGACCTCAACTGCTGCCTCCTTCAGCAGGTACGCGTCTTCCTCTTCTTACTCCTCCTCCTCCTCCTTCTCCTCGTCCTTCTTCTTCTTCTTCTTCTTCTTCTTCTTCTTCTTCTCCTCCTCCTTCTCCTCCTCCTCCTCCTTCTCCTCCTCCTCCTCCTCCTCCTCCTCCTTCTCCTCCTCCTCCTCCTCCTCCTCCTCCTCCCCCGCCTCCTCCTCACCCGCCTCTTCCTCCTACAGTCCCGCTTCGGAGCATGCTTTACCAGCACGCCAAGGTATTGGAAACAAGAGATTTCGGGACGGCTTATCAAGTGCAACCTGTCACTGTATAACAGAGATAACAAATGAGACAGATACAGATATTTGAATTCCCACAGAATATAATCGATGCAAAAACTGCAAGGTCATCGTTTAATGCACACAAATTAACCATAGAAAGTATGAATTTGAAAGCATAATTTATGAAAGATGGAAAAATTGGCACGCAGAGGGGTTGGGCAAGTCAAAGGGATGAGTGTAAATGTGGAAAAATGACGCTAGGAACACCAGGGTCGTTCAAAACTTACGTAGGCAGATTTACGTCCGTTCATGAGAAAATGTTGACATTAAAATTGATTTGTCACTTCTATGTAGGAAATTAGTCAACAAACTTACTGATAATTCCACCAGTATTTGGAGCTAAAAGGTAAAAAGTATGATTCTTAGCGTTTCGCAGGATATGGTGGAATGCAGGTCAAGGGACAGTATCTCCTACCTCGGCGGTTCAACAGTACTAAACCTGATTGATTTACCGTCGTTGCCGACCATGCCCGCCGAGTGCCCACAGCAAAGTGAAGCGGGCACCGTCACTTGGGTGTGATTAAGTTTATAGTGATAGTGGGCTTGCACAGCATCTACCGCACTCTCTCCCTCCCACTCCCCACCTGGACCCTGTGTCAAGACAGAATCAAGATGACCGGAGGCGGAAAGGAAGCAGGCGGCAGGCGCGGCCAGACCCGCACCTAGGTGGGCCACCACACCCCCTGGTCCACATTGCACTTGGTTGGAATTTTGACCGACAACAACAACACCGCAACGGGTCTGGTGGAGGACGAGTAAGAGTGGGCACCTATGCTCACGACCTGTATACTTAGTGGAAGCGTAAGCGTATCTGCCGACAGGGTCTGCCAGCGCATACCAGGCGGCGAGGGCCATGGTCTGCTGGTCCTGGCATAGTATACACCTACATGCTGACGGCGCGTGCGCTAGATAAAAGCCCATACATGCACACTTCGTCGATTCGGTGCCCCCCACCCTTAAAGGCTTTCTGGTATCTGCACTAATCTTTCAGGTCAGACATTTTTCAACTTCACCCAATTGTGAAAACTTTGGCAAACTTGGTGGGATTCGAACCCACGCAGTAGGGGGAAGGCTTTAGTACAGTCAGCGCTCTGGCCACCTGAGCTAAAAGGCCCTACCAAGAGCCGTGAGTTTAAGCCCATTTAGGCGAAGTTACCCACCCAACCTACTGCAACGTCTGTGATCCACCAAATCTGATACAGTAAGTTGACTGTACAAGCAGAATTTCCAAAGTATGCAGTTTAGAATTCATCGGAGTGACAACCAGGTAATAAAGGGGGTTTTGACAGATTTAGAATAAATAATTTTGACCCAACTGCGAAAACTCGGCCACCTTGGTGGGATGTGACCCCAGATTTGAGTACAGCCGAGTTTTTCACAGTTAGGTCAAAATAAACTATTCAAATTCTGCCAAAACACCTATTAATCAGACCCTTTTGTCACATCAGGACGTGATATACGAACGTTGGGCACTCATTAACCCCTCTCGAAGCTGTGTCAATTAGCGTCAGGCGTTCGGTAAAACGTGTGCGCTGGTGTTTTTAGTTGTTGGTCATTCTGCGAATATGGTAAATCCGTGATAAAGTATATATTACTATCTAACTATGAGAAGAATATAACCATCGCAGAACCACTTAGCCCAAGCCGATGAATTTCAGCTCAGATATTCGTCTCAACCTCTGAATCGAACCAGAGGGTGTTGGTGGCGCAGAATTTTTTTCGAGTTTGGAAGTAGATTTCCGAGAAGAGTCAAGGGCTTGCCAGCAAGATAACTGCTCTGACAGTTTTGTGGGAAACTTTGCACCTGCCTGACAATTTAGTGTAAGCGTAGGCTGTAGCTTTCGCGCCCACATCTGAAATAACAAATTTTCGGAAGTTTACTTCACGACATCGCGTTTCTTTAGCGTTCGCAAATGTTACACCAGGTGGATACTCAGACACAGGGAGCTCTCCCTCAGCAAATACCCTGCTTGTGACCTTGACGCCACAGGTCTTGACTGGGTTCTACTTTGTTGAGTAAGATTTGCACTTTAGGAAACTTAAGTCCGGTATTCACTATAGTTAAGGTACCAGGTGCCATAAAGACTTCGAGTCCGCTGACAATCCCATTGTCTATTAGACTGCTCTCGGAAGCAGTTTGTTTAAATTAGGCGCACGTGAGAAATAAACGTCAACACTGATTTATATGTTTGCAATTCTTTTGCGTTTTTGAATCTTGTCATCAAGCGCCCCGCAAATGCCCCGGTTTAATATCCACTTTTTACGTTTAGGCTCTACGGTGAGGGGGAGCAGACTAATAATTTCCTGACGGCGGAGCTTATTTCCTTTTGTGCTGATCGCCATTACTTAGGATTGTTTTACTTTGCATAATCACCTTCTCCTGCCGTTTGAAGACTGAATAAGAAATGTTAGCTGAAACAGATGGCTTTTTATGCAGTTGAATCTAAAGTGCTGATTGCAATTAAATTCCCCGGGCTGGATACAGGCAGTGCATTTGACTTAAGTATGGACTAGTTTGCTTGGGTGGACAGTCGAAATAAAGTAGTTATAAAAATACCATGTGACGAAAGAGTGTTAACCCATTAAGTAGATGGCAACAACAAAAATATATATTTCAATTCAGTGAGACTGTCATCTTCCTGACGAATGCAGACTTACCGGCAGCGCTTTATTTAGAGTCCGGAATTTCTTGATAATTGCTTGTAGTGGATATTTTAATTATTGCGCTTACAATCTTTGCCAAATCACAGTGCACGATAAGACTTTTGACAGAAATTTGTCTATTTTCTGTGTTTTTTACTCTCCGTCTTGTGTGTTGCCCTACCTGTTAAACCCCTTCTACCACCAACGTAAGACACGGTCTCCAGGAGAGCTCAAGTTAATTGGATGTCCTACACCCGGATCATCGCAAAAAATAGTGAAGTGTACTAGAGTGAAGTTTTCATTCCAGAAGTATGTGATCACGGGTTGTATAGCAGGTGGGCTAAATCATGAAATGTCAACTGCCATTTCAAAATCCGTTCTCTTTTATAAAGATTAATTAATTAGGGTTGTAAAACTAATCCCGATGCAGCATAATTCTACAATGATCCAGTCACCTCAGGGTGCTTTCTTTCGAACGAACTTATTTTTGACTGCATGCAAGAGTAATGCTCTGCACAAAATAACTACTTAAGTAGCATGCACTTTTTTATTGATTTTCGATGTACTTAAAAATTCGATTATATTTCTTGGAAAACATGCATATAAATATTCATTCTTTTACTTAGTCGGTAGAAAGTCACGTCTTCTTTCAATTTTATGTTCGAAAAAAGAGTACAATTCAATTCAAAAAAAACTTTGCTAATTTGCGAATAATTTTGAACCCGACCTGCTGTTAGACTTTCATTCAGGGTTTCAAAACTATAGGCCGTATATTTTCCGTGTACGGAAAACCATACATTTCTGTACCGTATTAAGAGGATACTATGTGGGGTTCATTAAATGAAGCAGTTGTTTTGATCCAAATTGTTAACATTACAATCCACAATGGTAAATGCAGAGACACGACGTTTTATGAACGGCCATTTCACGGTATTAAAAAATCCCACAATTACAAACTTTTTCGAACCGAATTATGCTCCTCGTTTGAGTACAAAATTGATAGAATACGTAATTATCTACCGAATGAGCAAGAGAATGAATATCTTTATGCATGCTTTCCATGAAATATATTTGAAATTTTATGGACATTGAAAATCAATGCGAAAAATTCATGCCACTTAGGCAGTCATTTGTTGCCGAGTATAGTTCTTGCATGCAGTTGTAAAAACGTTCTTTCAAAAGCCGAAACCGTAAGGTAACTAGATCTTTGTAGAATTATGCTGCATATTGATTAGTTTTAAAACCTTGCCTAAGTGATCTTTTCGAAACGAGAACGTACCTCGAAATTTCGGCCGACATTTCATGAGTTAGCCCACCTACTGTATTCCAAAAGGCCTCTCCGTTAGAGCTGCAGCCTGTTTGTTTCAAATTGATTCTTTGATTGTCGTGGGAAGCGCAGCCCTTGTTACAGGGTCACTATGCCTGCCACAGGTTAACCTTCTCGAGGCAAGTTGGGTGGCACGTTCAAACATCAGCCATAATACATTACCATGCAAACATTTTTGGTCGGAGACCTTTCCTCTGACGAATCCTGTACCCAGGACGATTATAAAATGAAAAAAAACGTTTTTAGTCCTGAGCGTTAATAAATGAGTAAATTTAGACTCTAGTGTACGCGCCTTTTGAACGCCCAGATACTATGCCTCAACATTTTGTTGTTTTAAGCACAACAACGGAGCAGGTTTATTCAAGAAACTGCTTACTGACTTATAACCTTTACAGAAGTTCATGTGTTAACTAGGAATAAATCAGCCGAGATAAAGCTTTATAGGCTCAGCCTGGAGGCTGATATGAATATTTCAGCCTGAATTCATCAATTTCACCCAGATAGCCTCGTAGTGCTCAAACTGCTAACAAGCAGTCTGCAGTGTACATATTTTGTACGATTTGACCCTACTTACCTTTCAGCAGGTGAAAAGACATTAGAGGTTAGTAACATCTTCACAAGTGTAGTGGGTAATACTGCAGGATCTGCAGGTCTGTAGGTTCAAATAGACACCGAGTTCAAGTAGTGCTTCATGAATTGTAGTTCTTGCACGCTCGTAAAAAGTGCTCAGATGAAAGGCTATATGTTATATGGCAAGTCGTGTCATTTGAAAAAAAACCGCACAGGGTGAATAAACGAGCGATTGACGGGATTAATAGCCTACTTATTATAACCAACAGGTAGACTAGACCCCATCAGTGATTTTCAATCATCAGTCGGTGAGTAAATTCGGACGAATGGTTATAACACTTTTAACGTGTATCTATGAAAAAGGAATTTTTAAGGTTCCAATTTAATCGCTTGCTGTATGCGTGTCAGCAAAACTTACTGACTCTTCTAGTAATTTCATTTCATACAGGGCCGATACCTGCTTCCCAATGTGCACGACACTTGAGCACGTGATTTAAAAAAGCGCGCCTTACGCCAGGATGCTCTTCTATCAATTACTGCAGATCAAAACAGACTAAAGTGTGAACAGTAAGAATTCCGACGAACGTCGTAATTACTCCAGAAGTAGATTAAAGTATTTAACTACGGGTCGGCAATGTATATATGTGGGAGGGCTGGCTCGAGAACTTGTAGCCATCATGACCGGTCTGGCGTCATTAGTCAAGACCTTGCTGTCTCAAGGTCATTCACACCTTTGCAGTGCGCTGTTCCAGACGCACTGACCTGAAGTCACACGACCGACATCTTGGGCATACCTGCGTTCTCACAGCCGCAGCTGCCCATGGGGCAACTTGAACGCACCTCCCCCCTTCAACCACAAACTAAGCCACTGGGACACCACCCCTCGGCAATGCAACACACACTGACTGGACACCACTTGAACTTGGGCCACGAGCCTACGAAAGTGGCTGCTACCACTGTCCTCGGGACTCTCGGGCCTGCCCCGGCTTTGCCAGTGGTAACTGCCGCCTGAGAAGACAACTTCGGGTTCTGTGCACAAAAACTCCTCATTCTGGTGCCTTCTGTCTTCTCTTTACAACTTGAGATTCGACCTAATGGTTGTAGCGCTCAAAGCACTTACTCTGACCACCTAGCCGCAACAAACTCAACGACCCCTTTTTACTACGACCTTATGTGGCACGCCCACAAACCTGAGATAGTAGTCTTCCTTTCTTTCGTGATGACCCAGCAAATTGCGCGGTTCATGAGCTCGTGTGCGGCACGCGTAAACGGGCTGTCGGTGACTGCATCTGAGCCAAACTCAGATCACTTTCAGATTTTTCTGCTATCAAAATATGGTAGCTGAGGAAGGAGGGAATGCGGTAAATGTAACTCGGATCTGCCACACACACACACACACACTTCTTCCATTTCACGGCACGCGGCGGATATAGTCGATCTCGGCGGTTGAGCGCTTGCCGTAAGTACGTCAGAAGCTACTGGAGGTGGTTGAATTAAAGTTAGAAAAATCAGTTTCTTGAGGTTCTTGGGCGTTCGCTGTGTGACCACGCATCTTGAAGGCTGTAGATTTCAGCGTGTAGCTCACATCTGCCGTATTGGGCACAGAAACTAGCGCCAGTCTGCGTTGACACGTTTTTCTTTGCACATCTTCCCCGCGGGACAGCAAGACGACAAAAAACAGCTGAAATTGCCATTTCGGTATTGTTTGTGTTTGATCGTATTTCTGTTTACCCTAGCGGTGATACTTAATCATTCACAGCAGCATGTCTGAGTGTTAATGCACTCCCAAAATAAAGCAAATGTTCACAGACCTCCCAATTTGCAGCCAAATCTTAATAAAGGACATCAAGCTAAGCCACGCCAGTAAAGCACTAGGATAAATTACCTTACTGGCAACATACGGCAGCTGTTCGCCTAAGTCGGACCAAACTTTATGGAAGACAAACTACATCTGACAAACGGGTGGTCAGCTGTCAGAACGCAGGAGTGGTTGCAGGCCGGTCGCTGACGCTGCTAGCCTGTGCAACATCTGCACACCCCCCTTCGCTGTTCAGGACATCGCAGTTCCAAGGGGTAAGCATAAGGTTAGATTCATGGGGGGGGGTAGCTTCCAATGGAAGAACCGGTGTAACCATCTTCAACCCTTGACGTAGAGTAGGAGGGATAACTCATGAACTGTCAAACGAAATTCCGAAGTACGTTTTCGTTTCGAAAAGATTAAGTAAGTAGGGTTGTAAAACTAATCATCATGCAGCATAATTCTATAATATTTCAGTTACCTCGGGATACTGGCTTACGAATGAACTTTCTTACGGCTGCATGAAAAACTACACTCGGTAAAAAGTGACCACATAAGTAGCACGAATTTTTCCCATTGATTTTCAATGCCCCTAAATGTCCACTTATATTTCATGGAAAACACAAAAAATATCCATTCTTTTGCGCATTCGGTAGACATTTACGTCTTCTTATAATTGTATCCTCGAAGGAAGGACATAATTCGGTTTTAAAAAATTGACTTATTGTGCGACTTTAAAATAGCGTGAAATGGCCGTTACTACATCGTCGTTTCAATCCATTTGCGAATTTGGCTTTTCAAGTTAACAATATAGATCAAGTCCACTTCCACCCAACTATGGACAGCGGAGTGTCGCAGTCGTGATTTAGGTTGCTCTCAAATGATCCGGCGTACGATCAGTCAATCATTATATGCGACCGAGGCACTCAAGTTTTTGCAACAGTGCGGGTCAAACACTGTCCGGAATAGGACACATCGCCTTGTCTGCAAAACTTCTAGAAAGCTCCCAAAAGTTTCTAGCCGTCCTCATAGATCATTAGAAATGCGGGTTTGAATTTTGTTAATGAGCGCTTTTCTGTCCTAGAGGAAGTGAAATAATAAGTAACTTCTTAGTAATGAAAAAAAACACAGGAAACCACACCCCGATAGAACCGCGGGCATCAGGGTACTGGCGGTGTGTTCCACGGATTGGCTGATAAGCACTTTTCGGCCCTGTAAGGCTGACAGAAACACTTTGTTTATGGAAGGAGAAGAGTTCTAACTGAATGACAACTTTCTTATTTATACCTAACGATGAAACGTCTTTACAACCACTAAACGGCATCGGCAGCCACAGAAACAAATGCATGGGATTTAAAGTGCGGGTAAAATTGCGTATATTTCAATGATGTTTGAATGGGGACAAATTCTGTAAAGGCGGTTTCTTCGGAGCTCAAATTCCAGGTCCGACGATGAAGGAACTACAGCTACGGACTTCTTTGGAAGGCCACAACCCTAACCCTCTGGTGTATAGCGAGGGTCATATACACCCATTATCGTATCTTTCCAGTTTGGACTCGCATGCGTGAGCACAAAAGAGCAACTGGGAAACTGATTTATAACCAAAAAGACAACCATCTTAAGCCGAAGTGACTCGAAGTCCTATCAGCGCACACCTAAATCCTGACTTTTTGTGACTAAAACCGTCAGCGACCATGTCGGCCATCTCCCGATTTGAGGAGCCCGCGTTACGAACGACACGATAAGTAAAGCAAGGCAGCTGAACTGAAATGACAAAAATCGATCATATATTTTCTGACACGGAATTCTCTCTATAAGAAAGCAGAGGAGCACACAGATCAGGCAACCGCCTACGGAGTTTCCACTAATCTCTTTGGAAGCGGTGACTTATAACACAAGCAATTTAGAAGAAGAAGCCGGATTGCTGGAACAAGAAGTGGTTAGAGGCGTGGACTTCTAACAAACTGGTCGCGAGTTCGAGCCTCGGGTGTGCCACACTTCGGAGTTGGGTATAACTGGCTGAGGACGGTTAATAAGCCAGAAATGGCCATTCCAGTCTTTCTTGTCTTTGTCAGAAATATCATTCTAACAAGAATTTTATTGGCCTGACGTTTCGGATTCTCATTCGAACCGATCACCACGGAGGTCGAGTGTCTCTGATGATGAATTCTAACAAAGATTCGAAACGCCAGGTTAGTAGACTTCTTGCTCCAGTGCTCGCATCCACTTCTTTTTCCTCTGAACTGCCTCCTAGAACTCGCTTGTTGGTTTCCATTAACACAAATAATTTTTCAAATCGTTAGATCGCCAAAAGTTTAGAACAGCAATGGAGGGAGAAAATCGTCCAGTCAAAAGCCGAGTAGCTTACCAAGTCTCCCAAATTTCTGTCCAGGTTAGCGAATTCAACGCTTGAAAATAAAAAGCCCACAATGAGCTCTGAAATACCAACATCTGTTCCAGTGAATACTTCTTCCCTCTTAAGCTGGTATACCACTTCCAGTCACATTTCGAGCGTTTCTTTAGGCAAAACAACCGTACTATTCAAAAACGGAATCCTCAAAAAGCTCTACAATTGAACCCAGACTCCTGCCGCTTTTTTCCGAGTGTTGAGTCGATATGGGTGGTGGACAGATACATTTTATCGCTTAAGACCCACAGCAGTAATAGGCTCCTCCATCAGAAATGGAATACGCACAACCAAACTGACAGGTTTTAATACGGAAGTGCGCAACTGCGGAAAAACGTTTTTCAAGTGCACAGAGTAAGAAGATTACTTTACGGCCAATAACCGAGGCCGTAAGATATGGAGTGAAAGAGCTTGAGAAATATAAACCGTCTTTGATACCGCTTACCATGTTAAATCAACAAAATACTTGTTCGTTGTCGCCAGCCGTGCCTGGACTTCTGAACTACGCCGTCCATTCTACCTCACAGCAAAATGCAAAAAACATACTGATAGGAGTTTTTTTGTTATCCAACAATAACTGTCAGAAATACTTGCAGCATTCCTGCCCTTTAAACTGGAAAATGATGGTTCTCTTTAAATTCGAAATTTCGCCCCATCAGGAGGAAGCTGGAGGCTTACAAATGTGAACTAAACACAACACAGGGTTCGAGATTATGCTAATTTTTCCACCACGAATTTATTTGAATGCCTTGCTGGTCACTATGCCGAACCTGCTCCTCGCAGTACAGTGCACGCAACCACTAATCCCTGGGATTTAGCCGAATTTCGGCGGACCAAATGTGGCATATTATTAGGTTGTTCGGAAAAAACTGGTCGATTTCAGGAACATGCCTTTCATCTTGAAGATTTTAACACTACGCTTGTTAAGATTAGTCAAAGTCTGATTGATAATCATCTATGCATCTACGCTATCAATAAACGAGATCATTTATGCCACGTCGACAAACATTTACTAGTTTTTATGACAAAAAACCTCGGAATCCAGTCTCTTTCTCGATTTTGCTCTTGAAAGTCTTGTAGCTTTCAAGGAGTTTAGATGATTAAAAATAGTAGTCAATGGGCAAAAGATCGCAAAACACAGATGATGTGGTAAAGTCTCTTATTCCACGTCACTGAGTTTCGGGAGTTCCATCGTCGCAACATGCGGCCGTGTGTTGTCTTAGAGGATAAGTGGGTCACACCAATCCTATAGTGAAGTTCTAGTTTTTTTCCAACTTAACATGCATTTTTCCAAGTTGTTTGCAGTATACCTCTGTTTTGATGCCATTGTTGGCCTTGAGAAGGCCGTACTGGACTACATCAATAGCCGGCCACCAGAATTACACCATAACCATTTGCTGATGCAGATGGAGTTTCGGAAAATATTTGGGTGCTCCATCAGGATCCGGCTATTATCCTGATCACTTACGAGGTCCACGTTTCGTTGCAAGTTACCAACAGGTGTTTGATATTCATTGAACCCACGCGCGTCCTACTAATGGAAATCGTTTGTCCTACCAGTACGCATCGGATATTCGAACACCGGTATAACACTGACATCAAGTGCCTTGGACGTTTGTTTAGCTCTCTGACGTGCGGTTTCTTCAACATTGCCATTACGGAATTTATAGAAACAATTTTGTACTGCCCGACCATTTGTGGACCCTTCTCCCTGTGTTTTATTGATTTTGGCAGCTGTTTGATAAGCATTAAAACCGCGTTTGAGCCGACATAAAGAAACAAAACGCATTTCCTCTTTCTTATCTTCGTTTTTGTAGGCTTATATGCCTCAAACGTGCACTCCGAAAGAAATTATAGGTGACTTATTAAACAGTACAATGTCAAGTTTTTTGTAAAACATCTCAAAAACAGAAATTAATTTAAAATTTCTAAAAGCCGGTGGTGGAGTTGGCAAATATTTTTCGAACCAGCTGATACTTTCTCTACTAGTTTGACAGCCTCCCAGGAGAATTCGGAGTCGGTTAGCATCGCATTCGCTTGGTTTTAATACTGGTTTATCACACTTAATATTCTGAAAGTAGGACACTGATGCTTTTTAATTTCGCTTGGTTCTGTGCTGGGAAGATTTTAATGTGGCCTTTGAACCGGGGAAATTTTTTAGTCGCATAGGAGTCTAGACTGCTCGAAAAGCTTCCGCCTTTATCAACCTTGTGATAACTGATTCGAGGCACGGAGTAAAGTTAGAACGCGTGGATCAACTGCCTTACAGAAAGAAGGAGACGCGATTAGTGGAACAAGAGCTTTATTTGCCTGATGTTTTTAATTTCTGCTCGAACACTTCACCAGAAACAACAGCTGATACGGGTATTTCACTAATGAGAGGCTGCGGTGCTCATAGGATGCAGTCTACGTGCTACCGCATACCTATTTATGAGTCATGGTTTACTGGGCCCCAGTTTATTAACCAATGCAACGAACTTCCCCTTCCATTGTCGGTGCTGAGACTTCGTCTAGGTGGAGTAATTAGCCACGCGGGGAGCGCAAGGCGAACACTATTCCCAGAGTCCGTGGAACGGTCAATCGAGCAACCGTAACTCTAAAATCCAACATCTGTGATGAAAATGCAAAGATTAACGACTCGCATGTCGCCCATCAGGTAATCATCACACCATGTGCAACAAACCCCGATGAGAAGAGTAAGTATGACTTTCAATTTGTATGCGGTAGCATGGTGGCTGCGTTTTACGGATACTGCAGCCTGTTGTTAGTGAACTACTCGTATCGGCTATTGTTTCTGATGATGGGTTCCAGCAGGAATTCGAAACTTCAGGCAAATAAAGCTTTTGTGCTGGCGACTGTGTCTCCTTCTTCAAGACTGCTTCCGGGGACCAGTCCTTTCGTTTCTACTGGCAGAAGTTCTACAGTGTGTAACGTGATAGAAGGTCCGTACTTTTAACAACATGAATTCCATTTTCTGCCTTCACCTCCCACCAGCCCGCATGAATACGACGACAAGGTTTTTAGGATGAAAGCGTTCTACAAGAGCGTCTAGCGCCCCTTTTGAAGAAGTGATTACAACCGCTTGGAACAAAAATTTAGCCCTACGCTCACAGCGGTCGGCAGCTGATTCAGGAAATGTGGTAGAACCTTCTCGAAGGAACCTTTTACTTGCTGAACTGGTAATTTTTTGCTTTTCCGAAAAGATTAAATGAGCGAACGACGCATCTACCTGCGTAAATTCTCTGAAACATTTTTTACAGCTTTTTTTGTTTCGCGAGAGATGTCTGTGCCCCACTGAAAATTCCACGCGCTCGGGTACGGCGGGATTTCTAAAGAGTACTTTAAAAAGTCGGATCAAACAACACTGAAAAAATTGACTTGCTCATCACAGTGCGTGGTTTTTCAGCAGTCCTTTCGTACGAAATAATTTTTCATTTTTTGAATTTTACGCCACATGCGCTTGATGGCGGCTGCCCGTCCGAAGGATTTTTTCTACCCGGACTGCCACGGTTCGGAGTGAGTGGATCGCGATTCAAAAGTAGAGAAGTCTTGCAATTTAGTATTTTTTAATTACCCCTGTGTGTTGGATATTCTTTTCCTTCCAAAGGAAAAAATATCATTTCTATAGTGTGGTAAGACAGCACAGACTCCATCGGACATTTAGTAGTTACAAAATTAGAACAAAACAAGAATGGAACAGTATCCAAACTCCTTCAGTCTAAGTAGGTGTTTGATAGGTCTTATTCGGTCAATGTTCGAAAAAGAGCTCGGAAGACGGGAGTCTTCATTACTCTTCCGTTGGAATGACAGATTTGTTACAATATGACTCCCTGCCACTTCTTGCAGCTAGGGCATCGCAATTAATGCTAACTGAAAATATAATAAGAGCGGAATTTTGCTAATGTGTAGGAAAAAATTGAATGGCAGTGTTTTGAAAGCCCTGATGAAGAAATACTGACGGCACAGGCTGTCAACATTATGAACCACGTGAAATGGCGGGAAATTTGTGAGGCCAACTCCGTTATGCAAAAGCCATCCAGGTTGCACTCCTCAAGGCTTAAACATTCTAACAAAATAGTTGTTTCTAAAGCATGCAGAAAGTCAATTTAAAAAAAAGAATTGGCATCTAAAATTTATCAAAACTAACCAAAGAATTTCAAGTTACACGTGATTAATAGGTGTTTCGGAAAATTTAGGAAATCCTGCTTAGGCTGTCAATTGACTGTAACAGATTTGGAGAATTCCAGACGCTGTAATAGGTAAGGCAGGTGACTTGGCGCAAATGCGATTAAATTCGCGTCGTCCGGCGAGGCCTCATACCTCCAGTGGTTAGAATGTTGGCTGTACTGAAGCCTTCCCCCTACTGCGTGTGTTTGAATCCAACCAAGGCGCCGAGTTCTTCACAGATAGGTCAATATGAAGTGCTCAAAATCTTCCAAAACATCTATGAACCTTAGATTGGTTACCTTGTTCTCAACTGCTTAAACCCAGCGACCTCGGTGGGGTTCGAATCCGGAATGGCAAAGGGAAGGTCTAAGTACTACCAACACTCTGGCCACCTGAGTTACGAGGCCTCGTTGGGAGCCATATTATTAGTTAAATTTGGGTCACGTCACCCAAAACCTATGGAATTCACCAAATTTGATGCATCAAGCTGGTAGAGGTTTCTAAAAATTGATCTAAAATACACCAGATGACTACCAAATTCACGTTTGTAATAGGTGTTTTCGGGGATTCTGAATAATTGTAAATTATGATTAAAATCCCGGCTTCCAGTGAGATCTTATAGCTCAGGTGGCAAGAGCGACGGTCATATTCTAGTCCTCCCCTCTCCGTCGTTGGTTCAAATTCCATCGAAGTCGCTGTGGTTTTCACTGTTTGGCGTAAACGTATTATATGTGATCATCTAACGACTACGACTGAAGATGTATAACAAATGAAATTCTATCTGATTGGGCAATTTGCATATAAAATAATAATAAATCTGATAAGAAGTAGGAGCGATAAGTATTTGTCCGACATTTCGAATTCACGTCCAAACCCACCACCAGAGACAACACCAAATAAGAGTAATTCGTTTACAGGAAATTGCAGTATTTATAGGATGCAGTCGCTAGCTACTGAATACCTAGGATAATTAATCGCTCTCTCCATCGATGATTTTTGCCGGCTACTGTGCCAGTTGCCTGATGGCTAGCATGCAAGTTGTTAATTGATGACATTTTATCATAAGTGTTGGATGTTGACGTGATATTGCAAACCACCTTCCGGACAAATCTCGCAAGGCTTTATTTTGAATGAGTGGATCTAAGTATGCGTAGTGATTGAAAGGCTTATCTTTCGAAACTGAAGTATCTACCAGTAAACGCACGGAGGGACCTACTGATGAATCAAACGCCCTTCACCTCTGTCGTCCACTATCAGCATATCAGCGAAAATGTGGTTGAACCTTTTTCTAATACCGTGTTGCCATCATGAAATATTTATATGCTGCCGGCTACCTGTTAGCCCCGCCGAAACTGATAGATTGTGGCCCAAATATTCATGTCGGCATTCGTAATGAGCCTATAAATCTTCCTTCCGAGTCATTAGCTCTGAGTTAGTGCATTAGATTCTGAAGATATTATGAAACTGAAAAAAATGCATTTTTTTGCGAGTTTGATGCTTTATCTTAATTTTTTGTTTGTCAGACATATATATTCTCGAGTTACTGGATCTTTGTACCCTGATAATAAACTTTATGTCATTTCTGCAAAGTCAGAATGAGCAGTTCTTCGGTGGCCACAATTAAGGAATGAAAGTCATCAGCAACAAACCAGATTCCAGTCCTACGAGCTACAGGAAATATTGAGTAGGTGGGTTAACTCATGAAATCTCAACAGAAATTCCAAAATAAGTTCCGAAAAGGGTTATTAAGTAGGGTTGTGAAACAAATCATCGTGCAGCATAATTCTGTAATAAGTTAGTTCGAAGGAAGGTCTTTTTGACTGCATCCATAAACCATATTCCGTAAAAAGGACTAATTAAGTAGCATGCATTTTTTCATTGATTTTCGACGGCCTTAAAGAATGAATTATATTTCATAGAAAAAATGCAAAAAAAATATTTATTCTTCCGCAAATTCGGTGGAAAATAACTTGTGATTTCAATTTAATACTCGAAGGAGGAGTATAATTCGGTTTTAAAAAATTTTCTAAAAGTTTTTTTTGACATCGTGAAATGACCTTTCATAAAACATCGTGTCTCTGTATTTAACAATTTAGCTAGTAAAGTTAATAATGCGGCTCAACTGCACTGCTTAATTTTATTAACCCCATATTATGTCCTCGCAAAACTGTAGAGAAATGAATGGTTTTCTGTACGCGGAAATCATGCGTATTTTATTTTGTAAACCCTGAATGCAAGTGTAACGACAGGTCGGGTTCAAAATTATTTAAGTATTGAAAACGTTTTACAAAACCAAATTATATCTTTTTTCAAATATAAAATTGAAAGAAGACGTAATGTTTTATTGAATGAGCAAAATCATGCCTATTTGTATACATTTTTTCTATGAAATATAATTGGATATTTAAGGGCATCGAAAATCAATGCATAAACTGCATGCTGACAAAGTAGTCATGTTTTGTGGAGAACGGTTTTTAGATGTAGCCGAAAAGACGTTTGTTCGAGAGCAGGCGTCCTGGGGTAACTGAGCTATCGTAGAATTATGTTGCCCTTTGCCTGGTCTAACGATCTTACTTAATAAATATTTTCCAAAATAAAACACATTTCGGAATTCCTGTTTAGATTTCATTAGTTAGCCCACTTACTGCACGTTTTTTCGAAGCTGTGGAGGACCCTTGTCCCACTAGAATTTGGTGCCCATCCGGGCCCCCAAATAAGATGGTCATTGAAACAGTCATCAGGGAAAGTTCCTTTTGCACTAGATTGCCTGGATCTTCTTCATTGGCTTATAAGAATGCCGGGTTCAATTGCAGAAGTACAGTGTTTTTCAAGCCTGAAGGCCGGTGACCAGCATACTTTTGATGGTCCAAAATTATTTTTCCCCTCTGTATAGGATTTATGGATACTTCAGTGGTTTTGGCATGGTTTGGTGTTCTGTCTCCTTAGGGAGGAGGTCGACAATTCTGAGAGAGCTGAGAGCACTCTGTTAGCCGTTTATTGCTTTGTGTATGATGGCTGCTTAGGGCAGCTTTGAAGCTTGCCGCCGCTTGTCTCCTTTCCGGACACCTACTCATCAGGCAAATTTTTCCAGCGAGTCATGGAGTACTCGTTAAAGCGCACGGCTGACTGAGCATGTAAGTCGGGGCACACCCAGCTGCTAAAAGTTTAAAAACTCGTGTTATGCAGTTAACATCCTGGCAGGGCGCGGTCGTTCGTTGTCAATTATAGATAGTTGCCTGGTAAGCCCTGCGAGGACCAGGTGTGACCGTCTGCCGTGTTTAATTCCTCATGTATGGAACAGGCCTCGTTCCGACGAACATGGACAACAGGGACAACCCTCCCCCTGCATGGATTATTAACCGTTTATAACCTAAAATCCTTTTGTTCGTTCATACATTTTAAGTTTGATTTTGGTTCATAATGCATCTGAAAACCTCTCCCACGTCAACATGCCAAAGAACTGCACTTCTCTCATAAGGAGACCTTCAAAGAGAAACCTTGATGGACTGGGTGGACCACACCTGGGCTGAAAGATTGGCTTACGTAGGAAAAGGTTGGGTTTCTAAAAAAGGCTTTACGTCTTTTTAAGGAGAGGGCCTATTTTCTGCGATATCTGTGTACCCCGAACAAGTGAATGTTATTTGATAGCAGTCTTTTTTAAATGGATTTAATGTACGATTTAATAACATGGTTAACATTGTCTAATTTAAGATGTCAAACCATTTCTACAGTCATGAACTTCAAGTTGATAATGACACGTCGTAATCACGAGGTTTTCACCTCGACCGGGAACAACAAAAAGCACATTTATGGACGCATGTTGACGTGGTTAAATGCATGCATGGTAACTTTTTCGACATTTTGTTGCGGACCCATCATGCGATGCGACTCCAGAAGTCGAAAACGTCACCAAAATCCGACAATAAAGTAAAACATTGACATCGGCGTCCAGCGTTAACAGTGAATTCTGCTAGTAATTTTGACAGATCGCTTGAGGTTCCCACCCGATGTTGCCAGGGTCGGCAGCCTTGTGACTTTGCGGGAATGCAGAAAGAATATACATGCTTTAGTCGGGAGGCATTGCACGTGCTCCTTCAAAGCACAGTTGTATTGCTCACTTGTAGCGGCCGAGGACGTCAAGGGTAGCACACAACCGCGTAACGGAATATCGAGGAAGTGATCCTGGCTTGTGTTGATCTGAATACGATTGTTAGCAGTTCACGATACTCATCCATACAAAAAGGAAGAAGAAGCGATCAGCGGACGGAAGATATAATGAACAGAAAAGGGAATTGAAAAGATGTATAATGACAGTTAAAAGTACAAACGGGATGAGTTATAACAGTCGAGTGACCTGTCTGGATGGAGAGGCGAGGCCAACATGCCAGCTGGAAAACCGGTGGGGAGCACAGCGCTGGGGGCAACTGCAGGGAAGGGCCGAGGGGGTTGCCGATGTAGTGAGGGAAGTGGTACGAACGTTACGACACGATACGGAGCAGGAGAAGGGATCGGCGGAAGAGAGTGGAAGGGACACCGGCCATCTTCACCAACATGCGGCTACGCCATCTCCATCCTAGGCCCGCGCGCCAAAAGTGCCACGGTATTCAAACAACCTGTACAGATCACGGGACGTTACACACTTGACACTGGATCTTTCTTTCATGTCGTGTTTGTTTCGCATCAACCACAGATTAGAGTTTTCTGGAGTTTTTGTAACTTAGGAAGTTGGCATCTTTTTCAAAAGTACTTAGCTGGTGCTACAAAATGCGTGTCCCCTTAATGGATTTTTAGGTCTAAAATTGATCGCCCATTATAGCACATTGCCTGGCGTTACCAGTGGTTGGGGAGTTCTCTTTAAATTATTCCATGGACCTGCCACTATTTCAGGGAGAGCCGGAACGTTAACCTGTCTTTTAAATGTACCATAAAGTTTCAGTTACTCCTAAGGGTAACAATCGGGAGATGGCACCCAAAAAATCCGCCTAACAAACGTAACCTGTCTTACGGGACAAGTGGTAATAGGGGTTTTATGGATGGTGGCTGGACGGGATGTACGACACTAGCCGACGGAAAACCTTACTTGAACAGGTGAATGATTGAAGTTTGCCCGCTCTCCGTTCCGTTATTGCAAAATGTGTCGCCAAAGCGGTATAATGGAAAGCGTATAATCGTCTTCCCTCAGAAGGCTGTCTACATTTCTCTGTTAACCTCTAAAAGAACTTCAAGGACCTTACCACTGGACGGCACACCAATGCCATTGAGGCATACTGGAGTAGACTGAAAAGGAAACTCCACGAGGGAGGCCCTGTATGTGATAGAGCTGTGTGGGCTCGCAGAGACAGTATCGTCTTTGGTTTGGCCTCAATGCCATGTCTTTGACAGATACCTGGGAACTGTTCCTGTCCCATGTTGCGCGGACTTATCCTATTTTAAAGTGATTTTGTTTTGTAATAAACTGCCATAATGCGAATGTATGCCGTATAATCAGGTGTACGTGTGTAACGCTGGGGAAGGTTGGGTAACAGCGACCATCGTCCATGTAACTTCCTGCGATGTTCATTTGGCCAGCCCATGTTAGGCCATTGCTGAAAGTCCAAGTAGTGCGCGAAAGTAGGCTTGCAACCGCTGATATAGATTGAAGGCGTTTGAGTACACTGTTAAACGTATTATTTCTAGGTAACGGATTTTTTGGGTGCCATCTCCCGATTGTTACCCTCCAAATAATTAGAGAAGTTACAAACTTTACCCCTTCCCAGCACATATAACTGCGGCGTCCACTGTCTGTCTTATGGAGCTAGCAAAATATCGGCGACTTGTGTTTAAATTAGGTTATAATGAGACGGACTTACTTAGTATTTACCACACTCGGCCCTCCACCGTTGACAGCGAAAGCAAGACAGTGTCAAGGTGACTAATTGTGGGAGTGGACTTAGTAAATGCCAAAACTCAAAAGTACGTCTACGTGCGCACGTCAAAACTGGTTTATAAAACTTGTGCCAGACTGCTGAAATGATGGCGCATACGTAACTTGGGCGAGAGTACCGTAGAGGCCGCAGTAAGAATAAGCTGTTGCATCCTGATTCACGGGTCTGAGTTGGGCCGGATTGTCCTGTGGGGTAGTAATCACGCAAGGCAAGACTGGCCGATCGTTTCAAACAAGTTAGGTTTATTTAAGTAACGACTGCGCGGATTTGCTATCAGAACAGATTTCATAATCACGGTGTCTTTGTCATGCATAAAAACATAAAAGTACATCCACTTTGTAGTTTAATAATAGCATCGCCCAGTAGAAACATTTGTCTGTCTTGCGGGGTCTGCAGCAGGAAGCCTAAAATTCGTGCCCTACAGTGCGTGACCTATCTCATGAAATGTTGGCTGAAATTCTGAAATGCGTTTTTGATTAGGAAGGATTACTTGGTCGCGGTTGTGATACTGATTATCTCAAGGCATACTCTTTTAACATTTTGGACTCGGCAGGATGTCGGCTTTTAAATGCACTCCTTTTCGATCTCTTGTAGAAAGCGTGCTCGGTAAAAAATGACTATTTAAGTAGCATGCATTTTTCCCATTGATTTTCGATGGTCTTGCAAATTCAAATATATTTTATAGAAACCACAAACGAAAATGTGCTTTCTTTTAGTCTCTCAATAGAGAATGACGTCTTCTTTATATTTTATACTCGAAGAAGGAGTTTAATTGGGTTTTAAAAACGTTTTCTAATTGCCGAATAATTTGGAGCCTGATCATTTGTTGCATCAGCGCTTAGTGATTTCTGTCTACAAGGTGCATGCGTTTCGTGTAAAGAAAATCCCATATTTTTCTATGTCATTAAAGAGATATCATACAGGGTCCATAAAATTTTGCAATGGATACGGACCATGTTGTACATTTCATGAGGAGCAGTGGTAAACGGCCAGGTACGAGGCTATGCGAATGGACATATCGCGGTCTAAAACAGTCTCATAATAAGAAACTTTTTAAAATCTAATTATACTCCTTCCTTAAGTATAAAATATAATAAAGACGTGATTCTCTATTGAGAGATTAAAAGAAAGCCAACATTTCATGAGATAGGTCACGCACTGTACATATGGCGTTGCTAAAAATGGAACCCGATTAGCCCTACGTAATGTCATTCAGACATATTTTATCAAACAGGGCCTGAGTATCCAGCTGTCTCTTTATTCAGCCTGACGCCAATGAAATTTTCTCTCTCGTCCCATTCTACTTTACATAAAAAGGAAAACAGAGGCAAACAATGTTTTGACCTACCGGAAGCGACCTCGATTTGGGTGGCACATAAGTTGTCCTCCGCCAAATTAAGTTTTGTACAGTTTGCCATGAAAATTGCCTGGTGGACCCATGAGCACAATTAGTTTATTTCTGTTTTTGAATTCGAAAAGTTTGCAAGCATAGGAAAATGTTTGGAATAAAGGGGTAACCGTCGCTGTTAACTGAACTTTGCTCAAACCATTACTGCGCACAGGGCATAATAGCTTAACTCATAGACTAGAATATTTTAATGCCCACTATAGCATATATTTCAAAAATATTTTGACGGTTTTTACGAGCCTTTTAAAGAAAATGTTAATGTTGTTGAACATCAGAATCACACTAGTTTTGTCTGAATATTAAGTAAAAAGTCAAACGAAATATTATCTGAAAAAGTTGTAAACAGATAAACCAGTCTCAGTTGACCATGATTTTGCATTATCAAAAAGGAAACTGAAAGATTTTTGGATCGTACACGAGAATTTCTCATGCAATAAAATTAAAATATTTTTCGTCATATTTGCGAAGCTTCTTTGTGAAAATGTTATTTTTTAGCACACACCATGTGTCTCAGGAATTTCATCAGACAAAATGTTTATAAAATTTAGCGGAAATATACGCTAGCTTATACTCGGGCCATTTTTATGTTAATAGCTGACCTTAACCTGATTTACGCTTCCGAGCGTATTTGACTTTGCGAGGACAATAGTGCAATTTAAAGAGTTCACATTTACGTCCCTTTGTATGATTGACGTTTATGTTCTGTTTTTATTCCCGAATAAGTTTCCCGAAGCAAATAATTGACGTGCTTGAATACTATAAGGTTGGATTTAAAGTAGTTTGTCGTGGTGTGTAAATGCGCCCGTAGTTATAGTATTATTGTAAGAAATGAGAAACGCCCTCCAAAGTACAGGTGATAGAAAATTCAAAAAGTAAACACGACAGTTAATCTTTATACAAACTTTAGGATAACAGTGCCGCTTCTTATTGTTAGACCGTAATTGTTTCCCTTATATAAAACGGGCCGTTTACGCCTTAATTTTTTACTTCTGTTTAACGGTTAAGTTAACTTACAGAGTGTCATTAATGACTGGCCACAGTTTCGGCCAGATATTAGTGTAAGATGGATGGGGTGGAATCTTCCATGAGTAGTTATGATGCCTGCATGATCTATCAAACTATGTACGGTCAGAAATAAGGCAGCCGAATTTAATTTCCAGGTTGCAAAGGAAATGCAAGGGGTAATTACTGAGGGTGCCAAATGATGCGAATGCTTGCTCGGTCAATTAGGATTCACAGGAAGTGCCTAGAGTTTTTTGCATCTTTGTAAATGTCTTTCAAACGGAACTTTCTTCACCACTGTCCAAATAGATGAAATGCAAGTAACCTTACTTTGTGCTTAAAACTGTGTTTATTGTCCATCCATTTCAGATAGGCACACAGAAGGCACGTTTATGCATGTTGTAGGGGGACACAGTAAAAATAAGAATTCAAATTATTTTTTACAATCCTCTTAGATATCGTTTTGTCTATCCAACTGTGTTAATGCAAATAATCCCGTGATATCCCAAAAATCGTTTTCGCTTACAACAATTTAGAATACCGCATTGCAACACTCCCCATACGATATGCGATACTTCATATTTAACAAAGATGATTTTGTAGGCAATTTTCTAACGCTTACTTAACCAAAGAAACGCACTGTCGTGAAAAGCCTATGTAGAAAGGCCAAGTATGACTTATTCGCCGTCTTGGGCTAGCCATAACCATGCACCAGAATATATTGAAAGAATCGCAAAACCTGCACAATCTCGGGTTCCTGGAAGCAGAGAATCAGATCAACTTGAGATACGCATACCCTGATAGGCTTATGAGTGCAGCCTTCCCCTTAAGAAAGGGCGAAAGCCAGTAGGACTCTGAGCAAATCGTAGACTATTAAGTTAAATTACTCGTCGAAGTAACAAACGCTGGCGGCTGGGATTTGACCAGCCGGCTGATTGTAATAGATAAAAAAGAGAGAGAAATTCAATCTCTTCTTGCCACGGCCAATAGTATCTTTGCACTACTGGTCGCTGTTTTCGAGTGATGACATGTAACTTAGGTACCACACCGGAAAGACAGTGATTCAGCCCCTCAAAGGAAATCGCCGGGTGAAATTAACTCCCATGTTTTCTTAAAAAGATCGTTCTGCCTAATGCAAAATCAGGTCATGTTTCACAGCACTAGTAATATATTGCACCATCAAGGGAAGTTAGTTCACCGCTCGTCCAATTCTGTCTCGGAGCACACTCCTGTATTCTGGCAGATATTTGCGTGGCGACGTGTGGTTAGGAATTGCAGACGGACGACACTGAACTGGCCAGAAGTGGCCATTGAAGCCAAGGGTTTCATTGACAGTACTTCTTCCTGTATGGTATACATTTAGAGATGTAAAATATAGTGCACAGATTTCGACCGTCCTTCAATCCTTGGGCACTAACTAAAATCTCGGAAAGTTATTTTATAGTCATTTTTGTCTCTGCATCAAGCCACCCTCTACTGTCCTCGAAAATCATGAAGTTAAGGCCATTTGTTGAGGTTTAAGGGGCAACCAATTACCTTTGATCTGGCTCATTGGCAGTATAACCTTTGTCTTTTGAGTACTTTGTCTAGACATGTTCTGCTGACATTTTTTTGAATAATGTCAGCCAGTTTAGAAAAGTTTTACTCAGAAATAATCACGGTCCATTTGTCGGAACCGACATTTGAAGAGTGTGAATACCATAGGATAGAAAGCCGTTGCCCTCAGAGAACGATTTAAAGTTATTATAACTGTTCACCGATCATGACTTCTTCTATTCCGTAAGTGATTTTTTAAGGACTGACAGTAATTTTGCCGATTAGTTAACTTTCGATCGTTCGCTGCTTCACAAAACGCCAGAAATCAACTCCGCCATTCGGCTTGACGGAACTGAGATTACAACACAACGATCCCATGACAGCACAGCTAAGTTAATATGTCTACGCCCAACGGAGTTGGGTTCTGACCGTAGTAGGTTGTCTAAATTATATTCTTTTCCCAAAACCTTATCATTCATCCCGGTAACTATATGCTTAATAAATTTAATTGAACTCGAGTAATTGCCACTAACTGGCGATCATTTCCTGAAATAAATGCTTTTTCGGCAGGCAAAATGTTGAAAAATGTTCAAATCGAGAGTTAAAACAGCGGTAAGGTCATCGGTTTTAGATAATGAAACAAACGACAGGAAAACACGCTGGCAAAGCTGCATTATACAAATTCTCCTCTAAACCGTGTAAAATTCACTTCTTCATAAAGTAAGCCATATAATATTTTAAATAAACCAACCGGTTTGATTAGACCTTTGGATCTTTTTTGTTAGCTCGAAGCGTGATTCAAGTGAGTAAAATTTCCTACGAATATGGGTTCTGTTTTAAAAAAACATAATATTACCTACTTTTAAAAGAAATACAAGGGACATGATCTGTCGATGCCAAAAGTTGCAGGACGGCTTATCAATTGCTTTTTTCGCTTCATAACATAAATAACGATTGTGGAGTGGATAGTGAAAATTTTTGAAAAATCTCTGTGTAAAGGATAAGATCAAGGTTCAGAAAGAAATATTAATTAAAATTAATCGCTAAATATATTCTAGAAAAGGAAAATTAGCGTGAAAATCAAACGAGAATAAAGTTGAGTTTACCACATCGCCAGGTTTGTTCCCGCTGCTGCTTATGCATGCTTCTAGTTCACAATGAGAACAGTATACTATTTAATAACTAATAAAATCTCGCGTCCGCACTTAACAATGACTAGTGTCAGGCGTATTAATAGTTTTAATGAAGCCAAAGACTCAGTGCCACGGCTAGAAACGTTTGGAGTAATTTATCGAATCTGTTGCAGTTGCCGACAAAGCAACTACGTCGGAGAAACCAGAAGAAAGCTCCGAATGCGAATGGCCGAACGCGCTGCAGCGGTGCGGAGAAATGACGCCAGCGCTCAAGTTGCGGCTCATTCGACGAGATTCAGCCATACACTCAAATTCGACGAGGGCGAAATTCTCGCAAGAGGTGACAACTGCGTGAGCCGGGAGCTGCTTGAGTCATGGTTTACTGGTCCCCTGTCAATCAACTAATACAACGATCTTCCCCTTCCATACTCCGTGCTGTTACTTCGCCTAGTTGGAGTAATTAGCCACGCGGTGAGCGCACAGGTATACACTTTTCCCAACATCGGGGTCGGTGCGTCAGATGGTCGAGTAATCATCACACCAACATCCAACGCACGTGATGAAAGTGCAGCAATTAACGACGCGAATGTCGACCATCAAACAGTCAGCACACCAAGTGCAACGATTCCTGATAAAGGGGGAGTCGTGAATATTCATAGGTATGCGGAAGCATGACGACTGCATCCTATAAATACTGCAGCCCACTGTGCATAAACCACCCGTATCTGTTTTGTCTCTGATGATGGGTTCGAACAGGGATCCGAAACGTCAGGCTAATAAAGCTCTTGTCCAACGATCGTATCTTCCTTTTCAAGTTTTGATTCCTTGTTCTGCAGGGCACAAACCATTGCGTCAGGACTGTTCTGGGATTATGAGTTAGGTTTTTTAATTTGTGCTTGAACCCTTCTCGATTTAACGCTCGATTTTTAAGGATTTGCAAGCAGTTGCAAGCGAGATCATTAAAAATAAAACATTGTGATCCATAAGAAAAACATTTAGTTGGGAAAAACAAGCTGACACTTCAGCGGTTGATTCAAAATGCGTCCGATTTGAGCATGCATTTTCGCAATGTACACTGGGTATGTTTGCTTTTAGCAAACTAATAGTGCAACCTTGAATACTGCTTCGGGGGTTTTGTAAAAGGGCATAGTAACACTTTTCGATTGGGATATGAGAGCTCCTATTAAGTACTGAACGCGGTAACCCGCGCCATTCCATTATAATACTACATCCCCAGAGTGAAGGTCACGCCGAGATGCTTTTCCAGGACATGATTCAGCTGATGTTGGAACAACCTCTTGCTATGCTGCCGCTCAAGTGTTTATCCGAAATTCCTGCTATAAAGTTCATTGCCAGAATATAGTTTGCAAACTGAGAGGTAAGAAGGAAAAATGCATTTTGGAGCCTAAAGCCACCATAAAGTAGAATGCGCGCCGCCGCACTTTTTAGTCGGAGGATAAATCTTACGAAATTTAATGTAATTAATTAGACAATTGGTTGTTCTTTGGCTCAGGGGAGATCCTGAAGATTAAAGAAAAGGATTCGGTTAGTTTGAAGTGGATTTCCCTCAGATCCGGTGCTTGTTTCTTTCATCCACTACACGATTAATCTCAATTTTTAGCCCACAAAAGATGGTGAGACAGTCGGTCTGCTTTTGAATAAGTTAGGCTTAAACGAGCTCATTTATTTGAATGAGCGACAAAGCAATGCCCTTTGCGCGCGGATAAGCACAAGACGTGTACTTTAAGGAAGTCTCGATAGCCCATCCAGTCGTGATAAAGAAGCTCAATGCCGCCAGCCCTATACCATAAAGAAGTGTGAACGCGCTCATTCGCTTGACAAATTATAAATTTGGTTTCAAAAATTCACAAAGAAATAAATTCGGGCCAAACTCATGCTTAATCCGTTTTTGGGAACGAACGGAAATGAAGGATTCAGGTAACGTTTCACGTCTATATTTTTTTAAAACAGTGTCGGATCTTTCTAAAAACGTGAGCGATTTAATGACGCAAAATACACCCGCCCTTGTTTGACTGAAATATGACATATTTACGTGAACAGTGTATATAAGTGCAAGTTTCTACCGACGTGTTTAAGGTTTCAGTGGAATTCGGCTGGTAAATTTCCCAACCCAACTTTATAAATGTGTGCGTCTTGAAATCCTTAGGGGAGGTTGACGGAGGTTAGCTTGATGATTTAATTTGCTATGCAATTGTCGATTGACACGGAGTCCTATTTTTACTCCGGTCTTATTTAATTGCAACACAGCTGTCTCATCAAATGTTACCATTAAGGAGGGCGTTGGATAAGTTCATAAAATAGTAGAGAGGAGCTCACAGATCGCGTTACCGAACTCACTCCTCTATTTATGCCTTTGAGTCTTTTCTCTGGAGCCCCGCCACCAGCCGCGCATCGGCGCGTAATACTGGCCGAATAACATTATCGACAAAGACAAGAGAGTGCCAATAGAAGCGAAGAGACGAGTCCCAGGAAGTAGTCTTGAAGAAGAAGACACGATCGCCGGGACAGGAGCTTAACTAGCCACGGCTAGAAACGTCTGGAGTCGTTTATCGGATCTGTTGCAGTTGCGGACAAAGCAACTACGTCGGAGAAACCGAAATAAAGCTCCGAACGAGAATGGCCGAACACGCGGCAGCGGTGCGGAGAAATGACGCCAGCTCTCAAGTTGCGGCTCATTCGACGAGATCCGGCCATACATTCAAATTCGATGAGGACGAAATTCTCGCAAGAGGTGACAACCGCGTGAGCCGGGAGCTGCTTCAGTCATGTTTTAATGGCCTCCAGTCATTTAACAAGTTCGACTTCGCCTGGCGGAGTAACAGGCCATGCGAGGAGGGCAGAGGTGAACACTTTTCTCAACACCGGGGTCGGTGCGTCAGATGGTCGAGCCAACATCCAACGCACGTGATGAAATTGCAGCAATTATCGACTCGAATGTCGGCCATCAAGCAATGATCACACCAAGTGCAACGATCCCGGATGAAAGGGGAGCCGTGAATATTCATAGGTATGCGGTAGCATGGCTACTGCATCCTATAAATACCGCAGCCCCTTGTGCAACAATCACCCGTTTCTGTTTTTGTCGCTGATGATGGATTCGAGTACGAATCCGAAACGTCAGGCTAAAAGCTCTTGTTCCGGCGATCGTGTCTTCCTCTTCATAAAGGGAGATTATAATAGCCATTTGTGCCTTGTTAGCCGTCGGTAGCCAATCATAAACAACCCCGAAGTGTTCAAATCCTCGGAATCGATCCCGGAACATGTTGGTTCAAATTCAAACATCCTGCCTAACCACTGAGCCAGGATCTCGTCATCCTGTAATCGGGTACATACACTGTGTATACAGTGGGAGGTTAATTAAATGATCCCATCTTCTGCTTGCGTATTGAAGTAGCCCCATACTAACTCTGAAAGCGTCTTATTCTTACGCGTATAGTGGAATTCAAATCTCAGCCTCAAACTACAAGAGTTAGCATTGACTCGGTTTTTTACTTTCCATGAATATTTTCATCGGTGTTTAAAACATTGCGAAGTGAGCTCCTTGGCATAACGTAAACCTCCGAAAACCGAATACCATGCAGGATGTTTCAAAACTAAAACAATCTGCGTTTTCCGAAGACGACTTTGCGAACCTACTTTGCTTTAGATAAAATTCTCCTCAGGCCAGTATATGGCAACGGGATACAGTTAAACATGCCAGCGATTGGAAAATCGATAATCAATAATTGAAAACCGACAGGGCAACGGGCGCGTGGCCCAGTGGTTAGAGGTGTGAACGTCTAACTAAAAGGTCGCGAGTTCGAACCTCGTGTGTTCCACACTTCGGGGTTGGGTATGACTGGCTGACGACAGCTAATAAACTAGAAATGGCCATTCCAGTCTCCCTTGTCTTGGTGGGCAATAACATACCACCTTAATCGATAATCGTTAGTTCTAAAAAACAGATGGGACGAGGGCGGAAGAGTGCGGAGAGATACAAGTGGTTTGTTAACATTTGAATACGGTAAGCGCGGAGCCTGAACGTCCTTCCCAGCTTATACCATTGCTTTACGTATAGTTTTGATTCGTATCTGCCGAAATTTTAATTCGCCATCGGAGACTGAATAACTTTACATGAGATGTGGAGACGCTGAAGCAGAATATTTACTAAATAATGCACAAAAACGTGCCCATTCATTTTTGCAGTATCGAATTAAGTCGGCTTTAGCATAACGCAGTTGAATAAACTTGTCTTCCATTGGTGCGATTTTTCAAGGTAAGTACGATCGTCATCGAGTTGAAGACATCTCTGAAATGTCCTCTGCTCAACGCCTACCACATCCTTCCCGCTCGCGATAAAATGACTGACTGACCATGCTTGAGACTCCAAATATTCTGAAGAACATTTTGCAGACATGCGTTTGCTTTCAATGAATGCTCCTTAGACTAGAACATATTTATTGGAACGGGGTCAAATTAAACATGCCACTAACTAGAGAAATTGCGTTAAGATCGTCTCTATCCAAAAAAGGTTAGCCTTTCCGGTGAAAGAAAATACATTGTTCTTTCCCAAAAAATGTTGTTTGTCGAGCTTCATCCCTACATATTCACCTCTTTTTCTTCATACTGAGGACTCAATGTCATCGCTAGTAAAAACAAACGACAAAATCAATCTCCTTAAGGAGGTCGTAGCTTACGTCTCCGCGTGGCTGTTTAATACTAGTATCACACCAGTGAGTTATAATCCGCAAAACGTTTGTTGAGACTGTGGCCAGTACCAATTCATTGCTACCCTTTGCAGCAAAAGCTTGCTCTTCCCAAAACTTGGCAGGGGGTCTGTTGCCAACCAGTTCTGGCTCCTTCCCACTAAATTTATTTTGAGCATATGCGCTACGTACTATGCCCACATACTCAGTCCACCTCCCCCAGAACATCAACCTGGCCATTTGCTAATTTAGCCGGTTTTCCACACTCTTTTTTTCCACCTCCGTCCGTCTACGCGTGCCACACACAACCAGGTTTTCGCAGGAAGAGATAGGGACGACTCAGATATCGCCTGATTTTGCTAGGCTAGGACATATAAAGCTGTGACGGTGATATATACATACAAATATATTTAACAGCAAATTATGAATGCCATGTCCGCCACTGTCCAAGGTGCACCTCATTCCCCTCATTTCTACCTAATGGCATACTGTGCAACTCGGCTCAATTTTTATCACGCGCCGTGGCTAACGTCAGGGCACAGATAACGTCATCTAATCCTTGGCACCGAACTGCAAAACTAATGTTTACTCTACCAAAGAACTCGCTTTGTCCAACTCTTTCAGTATTTAGGAAATTTTTGAGTTGTGAAATTTGATTATCTCCGATAAAAGTAATTTATTGGCCTCTTGCATGTTGATCGTTTACTATTCCCTACATTGTGCGGCCAATGTTAGACTTAAATTATGCCCGAAAATGTCCCCTTATTGCGCAAAAATGGCCCATGGCAGCGATCAGTAAAGAAAATAATAAATAGTGCAATAGACGCAAAAGTCCAGTTATCAGTTAGTCGAGCGCACTAACAGATCAGGAAGAAGGACATTCTGAGGCTTATAGTGCAGCCGTTGCGTGGCAAAGCACGCAGTTATTTTGCAGTAGCTGATGGACTTCGTTCCAAATATTAATATCGAAATTTAGTCTGAGTCTATAAGTCTTAAGCAGGCTGATTTACTCCAAGTTTGTCATGCGTTTTTTAAAGAAATTAGGAAGCCGAACAAAGAATTATTTTTTGGATTAGAAATGTGTGGCCTGATAGGAAGTGTGTGATATATGATGCTCTAATGACCAGAAATGATTAGCGAGATCATTAACCACGGAGGTCGATAACATGTCCGCGAAAATGGAAAACGATGGATCTGATTTATTTTGGCGAAAAAGCATTGATCAGTGCTTAGAAAGACTAAAAAAGCGGTTAAAATTCTGAAACGAAAAGTCAAATTTAATTTTAACCGACTTAATTGGAGTTAGAACCGATGTGTTTTCCGATCGCTTCATTCCAAAGGCAGCAAGGTACTCTCAATCTTCTTACTGGTGAAAAATGAGGTATTTATACAATGCGCTTAATAAAAAGGTAAGTAAAGGGAACTTACACAAATTAATTTCTAAATGCTGCGGCAGTGTCGGTATTGCTCTTAATACCAATGCTATAAAACTACTGTCTTAATTGCTTAAGAGATCGCCAGTTTTTCCTTGCATATGAAGAGGGCAAATTATTTCATTTGCGGCAACAGACGAAAAACGATATAGCCGTCCTACGTATCGAACTGCAATTATCATCATAACAATATTTATCTTTGGGACGCAGCAATTTAATTTCTTTGAAGTTTATTCGGGACTAGATTTTTACCGCTGTATAAGCTCAGTTACTGACTATCCACTCCGTTTTTGGCCTCCTACCTAATTTGATGATAGCTACTCTAGAGTTTGATGCCCACACCTAACGTTAAAGGGGTCTGTTTTTTCCGAGTTGTCGAATTTTGCAAAATTGGTTACCGTACCTCAGTGAAAAAATAGCGTTTGTATCCAGCGCCCGCATGTGAGCATTCCTGATTTAAAGTAATTGTAAACCATTCCGCAAACAATCCAGAGAAACGGATCAGCCCCCCCCCCCAGGATGCCCTAATACCCTAGGAAGAACAAATGCCTCAAAGGGCATGCCTTTTCTGTCTTCAAAGCTTACCAACTGAAGACAGCGAATTCTATTTTGATTAACAATCTCCTGCAAACATCTGCCTTTAACTTAACCCACCTTTAAAATTCAAACGCGCATTTATTTTAATTAACCGCCAATAAAAACGGCCGTTTGGTTTGAGATACGGGACATAGATCATGACTTTGCAGCAATTGGGATCTCGGCTTCACGAAAGTTGAGTTAGTCAGCCAATTAATTATATATTAGGAGTGTTTTACGAAGACCGCTTCAGCAACTTTAGACAAAGTCAGCCAGCATCAAGCCACACGTTTAACATCTCAAACGTTGCCCAACGTTTTAGATTTGTAAAGCCAGTATACATTTGTAATGCTATTTGAAGTGAGACAACGGATTTCCTACACGCATGCAAGGCCCATTAACTTATAACAGATTTACGGAAATACTGGTATATCGGCCCTTTTCCCTCGAACCAATGGCCCCAATTCGGAGGTAAAGGTGTCCGTGTAAGTTAAGTCTCCTATCGGTTTGTGGTATCAAGAAAGTAAGTAAGGAAGAGATTGCTTAGAATTTTTAGAAATTTGGAAAAGTAGCATATTGTACAGCACAAAACTACTTTTTACCGATTGTCAGTTTATTGACTGCCTTTTACCTAATGACGGCACGCTCAACTATAAAGGATCGCAGCACTCTACTCCTCTGATTTTCCGAGTGGTTAGTCCCTATTTTTGGAAAAAACTGAGACAGAAGTTACATGACTACCGTCAGATTTGTCGAACGCAATATCATCAACAGCATCTAATGCACATTCTACTACGCATATAGGCAAATAGTATCTTTAATTTTGTCGCCTCATTTTTAATATCAGTTTAAAAATTTAATAATCTATAAAAGTTTATTAAGCTTCCTTTCTGTGCATGCGTATACGAGTAGAAGAATTAACAATAAAAATAAATCCCCGTTTAAATTCCAAAGAGCGCACAAGTGCACTTAAACAAATAAATAAAATGCGCATTTAAAGAAATATCAGTCATGGCGGCGATTTTTCATATCCATCATCAGCAAAAATTTGGATAAAAATTGATTTCGACGATATAATTGAGCTCAAAAACTCAAATTTCGTTTGCCCATCTATAGAAGTAAAAACCGTGGTCGGTACATTCCTTTTGTAAAGCTTGAATTTAGATGAGTTGCTTGTGGTTCAGCAAAAAAGGGGAGTTCCTGAAAGCTAAAATGCTTTCTTGCAAAGTTTCAGCCGTTTTTGGAAGGATTCAGTTGAAAATTCCAGTTTTTCAAAGAATACATGTTAGGTTTTAAGCTGCTACTGATTTTTTGATTGCCTGCATAATTTTTGCCTAAAACATTGCTTTAAAGACAAGTACATCAAAGGCTATATCGAGACTGTCTAAATTCACAGATAATATGCTTGCAGAAATTCGCCTTATGAGAGAAGGTCGCTTGTACCGGCAGAAGGTCCACTTGTACTTTCTAGAGTTCATTATAAGTGAAATGCAAAAAATTCTATGAAATTTAAGAGCGCCTGAAATCTGAATGTTGTGCTCAAAATCAGTTTGACAGTAACGGCCCGTTTCATTACGCTAAGAGGAAGAGCGGAATGAGCAAAAACCGCGATTAAAAAACCGGAAAGTCTGGTTTTGTGTTGACAAGAGCGCATTAGCTAATACTATGATATTGGGTCCGAGTTTTCCACGAACAATAGAAAAAAACATTTAATAGAGTTTAGTGTCTCTATGCTAAACACCTACTCGTTTTGCAAGTATCTGTGAAAGGTAAATATTATGTGGCTGATTTTTAGCAAATCTTTACCATGAGTTACGAAAAGATCCTTTAATATCCTAGGCATTTTAAGCGCCTTTGATTTGCATGCTTGATATCAGTAGGAATAAAATATTTGCTGTCAGATTTGACGGCTCTTGCTTCTTGCCCTTGAGTTTCGACAGAGTCCTCGAGCCCACGTCATGCCGAGTCCCGACACGCTAGTTGCGTCACAAAACTTTCATACAGATTGTATAATTTTACCGATTACTTAAGATCCAAAAGATGAAACAAAGCGCACAAGCCAGGCGGGGGGGAGGAACAGACCGACTGTGAATGAATGAGAATATTCGGCAGTCAGCCGCGTCGCCTTCCTGGAACGTGAAAAGCAACAGAGATCTGAAAATACAAGTTGATCCTACTACATTTTTTGACCAGCAGAAGATAAAATTGCTTGGGGCTACCTCTAAACCTGCCTATTCATACTCACTCTCTATCCATACTAGACGGCAAACGAGTGCTTCAATAACTACGTTTATAACAACGCACATTCAGGCAATAATTCACTTAACCCACATGCATGGACAGCAGGCAGGCTAATTCATGAAACATCAACCAAAATTCTGAAATGCGTTTTCATTTCGAAAAGATTAATTAAGTAGTATTGCAAAACTAGTCAGTCTTGAAGAAGATAACACGATCGCCGGGACAAGACTACTTCCTGGGACTCGTCTCTTTTATTCCATTAACTAGTCAGTCTGCAGCATTATTTTATAATATTTCAATTAGAGCAAGATGCCGGCTTTCGAGTGACTTCCTTCCGGCTGCATACAAAAACTTCACTCTGTAAACAATGACTTCTTAAGTAGCATGACCTTTTTTCTTTTATTTTCGATACTCCTAGATATCCAATATAGTTCATGGAAAACATGCGCAAAATATTCATTCGCCTGCTCATTCGGTAGAACATTACGTCTTCTTCCAAGTTAATGCACGAAAGAAAAACACAGTTGAGTTTTTAAAAAAAGTTTTTATCATGGGACTTTTAAATACCGTTAAATGGCCTTTCATAAGTCGTCATGTCTCTGCATTTAGCAATGTGGTTTTAAAGTTAACAATATGGATCAAATCCACCGCTACATTTTTTAAACTCTATATAGTCCCCCTTTATTATCGCAGATAAATGTGTGGTTTACCATACACGGAAAATATACGGCTCGTAGTTTATAAACCCTGAATCCTATTGTGACGGTAGAACGGGGTCAAAAGTATTCGGGATTTGGAAAGTTTTTAAAACCAAATTATTTCACTTCTTCGAGTATACAATTAGAAGCATACGTCATTGTCTACGCAATGAGCAAAAGAATGAATATTTATTGTTCATGTTTTGGTATTTGTGTACTCAATACTAGGTACTAAACATATAAAATGAAAAGAATAACATTCCCATATTCAGATTCTTTCTTGCCCGCTTCGCTTGTTCCCCAAATTCGCAAAAAGACAGTCCGAGAGCACATGCATGCGATTAATTGTTTTGGCTTCCCTTTGAAAAAGAAAGTAATGAAAAAGGCATTTTAGACACTTAATGGTGAAACCTGTTCAAAGAACCAAATATTATTGAGAATGATCTTCACTTGACTATGAGATACCATGATAAGTGCAGCCCACAAATCATTACTACCGGAACAGGTTCACTTAAAACATATAATAATAGTTTGCGGTTTTTACCAGAAATGGTTATTATAGGTATTATTGCACTACAAACATGAAATGTCTTAGTTGGCAATCAGCTAACACAACGACGACAGCAGTGTGCTTATTTAAACTCAGTCGGCCCAACCGTCGCCAGAAGGACCACGACGATTTTTTACGATGCCTTTAGTCGATTCTTTTTGCTTTATTTCTGCTTTTATTGAGTAGCTGGACCTTTAAACCAGAATATTTAATAAAGTAGGTCTTCTTCAAAGTCAACGGCATACAGGCTGATATGAAAAGGAGATATATCAACCTGAAATACAGCATATAATTTCAAATATATCTACATATGGTAAGCTAATCGTTTATATTGCAGACTTTTCATCACTTCGAGGAATGTGTGGCTGAGGATTTCTCACTGGGCCTTCTGAGTCTTTTTATGCACGTTGGACCGTCCAACGAGTCTCTATAACCTCTTGCAAATGTCCCTTTTCCCATTAATTTGACATGTACCACTCATTGGTCAAAAATGTTTTCTGCTCAACTTTTAATAGCATCAGCCGTGTTGAATGAAACACCGTGCATTTAGATTGAGAGCAATCGGAAAATGAAGGAACTATGGGAAAAATGCGAAGAAATTCCTGCTTGAACTTTTGGGAAACAATTCTAACAAGCGGAGTCCTGTGTGATTGGGCCTTGCCGGGCTGCAGAAACAGTCCGTCTTAACGGTCGGGCCGGTTTTGTTAAGAAATCTTATTTAAGCGTCAAAGTGAGGCTGCGTAGGGGTATCTACTCATTGTGTGCTTCTGCTTAAATAGGTCGTAATGGATTACGTTCTCTTCATACGACGTATTACGCAAATACTGTTCCATCGGTTGAGCTGTCGTCTGATTTCGCGATTCATACATCCTTTTCTTTGTTTCAAATTTACGTCCAAACGATGCCTCTCATTGCATAGTGACCATCTTATAGCGTAATTATTGTTCGTAAACACGAATGACTTGGCGACACGCAAGCAAATCGACAGAGGCGGGCAAGTGTCAAAATAACACGCTAGAGAATAAGAAGCGATCACTGGAACAATTAGTCTATTGACATGAAGTTTCAGATTCCCAATTGAGCACATCATCAGAAACAGTCGCAGACACCCCCGCGTGATCAACGCGGCATGAGCATATGACCCCACTGACTCCAACTCGATAGCAGACAAAAGCGAACAGACGAGATCCAGGAAGCTATTTAGAAGAAGAAAATGCGATCACTGGAACAATAATTTTTTGGCCTGAAATTTCGGATTCGCACTCGAACCCATCATTGGAGGCAGCCACAGATAAAAAAAGTGGAGGTAAAAAGGGTGTAGTATTTATAGTAAGTAGCTGACGTAGGATTACGTTCGCACTCTAATTAACAGCCTTCACGATCATCGCCACGGGTCGTAATTGAAGCGGCGGCGGCTCGTCAGTCCGTGTCCGAGTCGTTACTTGCCGCAATTTCAGAAATCAAGCTGGATGTTAGCTTGATGACTACTCGCTCATTCGGTCCGCTGTCACTGGGATTGTTGCTTTTCCGCGCCATCCCCATGTGACTGACTCATCTGATCAGGGAATGTCTCTGCACCGAATACGGTTAGGGAGGTCATTTAACCTGTTGACAGATTGATGGCCTGGAAACGATAATTGGGGCGGCTCCCGGCTCATACGGTTATCAACTATCGTAATAATTTCAGCCACTTGGAAATATGGCCGGATCCCGTGAGATGAGCTGTCATCTGAGACCTAGTGCCTTTCCTCCTCACCGCTGCTGCATGCACGACCATCTTCTTCTGGAGTAACCCACCAATTTCTCCCAGATATTTTCTTTGTCTGAAACTGGACCAGATCGGCTAAGCGACTCCAGACGTTTCCTGTCGTGGCAGTAGGTCTTTCGGCCTTATTGCCTGGCACCCGGCTGTCACTTCCGACCTGTGTGCATCACTAACGCCAGGCAGGGTGGGACGCACGTGCCATCAGTCGCCTTCGTACTCCGTTTGGATTTGGAATTTCTCAAGGGCTGGGAGTGACAACCGGGTTCCAGGCCATGAGGCTGAAAGACCCATTGTCACGGCAGGAAACGTCTGGAGCGCTTAGCCGATCTGGTCCAGTTTCAGACAGAGCAAATATGTGGGGACAACTGGTGGGCTACTCCAGATGAAGATGGTCGCGCATGCAGCAGCGGTGATGAGGAAGGACACTCGGTCTTTGTTGGCAGCTCATCTCACGGGATCCGACCATATTTTCAAGAGGCTGAAATTATTACGAAAGGTGATAACTGTATGAGCTGGGAGCTGCCCCAGTCATGGCTTTCAGGCCAGTAATCCATCAGCAGGTGCAATAACCTCCCGTTACCCCATTCGATGCAGATACATCCCCTGATCAGATGAGTCAGTCACAGGGGGATGGCGCGGACAAGCAACAATCCCAGTGACAGCGGGCCAAATGAGCTAACATCCAGCTTGATTTCTGAAATTGCGGAAATTAACGACTCGGACACGGACTGACGAGTCTTTATCGCATCAGTTACGACTCGTGGCGATGATCGTGAAGGCTGTTAATTAGAGTGCTTATGTAATCCTACGTCAGCTACTTACTATATATACTGCACTATTTGTGCCTCCACTACGCTTACCTGTGACTGTTTAAGTGGAAATCTAAACGTCAGATCAATAAGCCTATTGTTCCAGTGATCGCTCCTTATTTTTCTTCTTTTTTCCTTCTAAGCTACTTATTAGAACCTTTCGGCCTCCGCAATCGACAAACATCCATGGCCCAAACCGTTGAGCTCTGCTAATCGTTTAACATTTGGAGTGAATGGTGTTGTGCTGTCAGCTTAAATGTCTGCCAATTTTGCGCTTTTTTGCTGAAAGATTTCCCCTACAAATGCACTCATACTATTTTTCTCGAAACGGGCCGGTCATCCAGATTGGGAGTAACTTTGATTTCACGCCTCCTTATTTTAAATTTCGCTAACCGTCGTTGAGTAGTGCTGTCAGGCGTGTTGTTTTCTCCGTAAACAAAAAAAGTTTTCCGAGCAGATTCCGCAACTTTTAAACCCTCTAGTTAGAATAAAACGAATTGGACGTCCAAGATGCTTGCTTTTCTAGATCCGCAACTTTATTTTAGTCTGGCATTATAAAACCTTAAGCATTAGAAAAGGCTGCTGACAAAACGCGTGTGAAGCAGATAAACCGCTTTCGAAGAATAAGCAACCCTTGCCACAACAGAGAAGATTAGCGAGTAAAATTGCATTCGGCAGAAATTGCAAAAAGGTGCTAAACAGTCCAATACATCGGACGATTACATGGCTATTTTTCAACACTTTGAATATTTCAAGCAGCAATTTTTTCAACCATTAACGCCTCACCGTCAACATGACCACAGACGATGACATGTAATACCATATATTTGCCGAAGTTTCGAAAACGAATAAAGTGACGAAAGCTAAAGGAAATATGGACTGTCTGACATCCTCGATTTTGCTGTCACTGTGTGGGATGTTAGACCATGAGACCTATTCGAGACTATGTCGCTCATTTTACCTCCTTTGCGATAGCCTTCAAAAGCCTTACTGAAGGTTCAAAACGGTTTTAAGACAAAAATGTGGAAAACAAAGATTACGGTATCGTTTTGCCCATTCACCAATTTTACTAAAACAGTCAAGGAGGAGAACAGAAAAATCGTGGGTATTACTGCGAACGCTTCGTTTTAACTCTTTGATATTTGTAAAGAAAAGGAGTCGTTCTTTGCAAAAACGTTATTAGCGGCTGAAGGACACGCTTATAATTTAAGGACATCCAGGCATTCAGATGAACTTTATGATGTTGACTTTGGAGGTAATTTCACGTCTGGCTTATTTCAGAATGTATCACCTAAAAGTATCCCACAGTTATGCAATGTAACTCAGGTGAAGTAAACGCACAAAGGTAAACACGCTTTAAAAAACCTATATGAGCTTATAAAACAATCTGATATTTCCCTTTGATTTGATGGCTTTGTGCATTTTTGCAGAAAAGGCTTTTGAAATTCAAGATTGCTAAGTTTTAGCAATGTTTTGACTTTCTATCAGTCTGAATTTTGCCGGAAACATTAATGCTTCTTGAAGTTTATAATGACTTTCGATGCTCATTGATGCTTTGATGGGATCTCGACGGGTCCTTAATAAAAAACTATTATTATTACTTGTTAAAAGGAGTTTGCTGTTAAACGGAAATTTGGTTCTGATATTTTTTCGTCGGCTGCTCATCAGCTGGGCACATTTTGCTAATTAAGACTTGCTTATTAAACTTTTCCATCCACCATCCGTCATCACTTTGACCGAAGATTTTGCATAGGAAACCGACAAAAGTGTCGCTACTGTTAAGCTGCCGCAATAAATATCTCCACTCAAATAAATTGAATCATCCACGTGCGCTTACAGAAACGGCACGGAAAAAGGTTACCAGCATTTGGAGCATTTGGGAGTCATCCAATCATCATGAACTTTTGCAGAAATTATCGGAGGGCCACAGACAGATGGAAGCATCTAGGCCAATTTGAATATACCTCATAGAATACATGCATAAAATTATTCGTTTATTTGCTTATTTGTCGGAAAATCACATCTTTAAATTTCATACCTGAGGTAAGGGCGCAATTTGGCTTTAGATATGTTTTTCAGTTCCCCAATAATTTTAGCCTAATCCGCCATTACACTTGCATTCAGGGTTTCCAAATCCCAAACTGCATATTTCCTGTATACGGAAAATTATATATTTCTACACGGTACCATGAAGAAACTTTGTGGGAATCACAAAATTAGGTAATGCATTTAGACCCTATTATAAAGTTTACAAGCTACATTAGTAAATGCGGAGACAAGATGTTTAATGAACGAGCATCTCACAGCCTTAACAAATCTCTTAATAATAGACTGTTAAAAATCGAATTGTACTTTTTCTTCCAGCGTCAAATTTAAAGAGGTTGTACGTCTCTTCCAAGCTTCTAAAAATCAATATTTGTATGCGCGTTTTTTAGGAAATACGCATGAGTTTATAAGGGCATCGACAATCAATGAGAAAAGTATACAGAGTGTAGTTTCTTTCAGGCGGCCGGAAATAAGTTCATTCAAAAACCGGCTGCCCGGAGCAACTAGATTAACTTGGCACTATGCTACACTTAACTAATCCTTTCGAGTTAAAAAAAAAACACTTCTCGGAAGTTCGGTTAACATTTCACCAGTTAGCATGTAAAGTTAGAGGGAGTATTCATTAGACTGGAGGGGTAATTGAGCATGCGGCCTGATCCCACAGATCAGACTAACTTTCTGTCGGTAGCAGCATGGGAGGAAGTGGTCTGGATTCTGCCGGTCTCATCCTACAGTGGCAGCTATTTCTGCCCCAGCAAGCATCAAAAGTCTGCAGGAGAGGTTGTGCGATTCCCAACTAGTGGTGCCGCAAATACACTAGAAGCAGCCTATGCCACACCTCGCATGTCATAAGGAACATGACTCTGACATACAAATGTTGTCAGGGTGTCTGCGTATGCCACCGACCACCCCTCTAAAGTCGGTTGCAAGTGGCTCGAACGTTGACTGCTAGAGCTGTCATCTGTCACCCTCACCTCCCCGGTGGGTTCTGAACAGCCATTCAGCGTTTGCAGTAGTGACCAATGCGGTGCGCAGCCTGCGCAACGTGGAGGGAAACATCCTCCAGGTTCAGGTCTTACTCTCTGATTCATGCAAGCTCTGAAGTGTACTAAGCAATATCTATGAACCGCTCACTAGTGCCCGGGATTGGTCCGTCAGGAGGCAGATGACTGCTTTCAAAGCTTCCGTCCTTAGAACCTCGGTCAAATGTATTCAAATAATTTATTATCGAATCCTTCTTTAAATCCATCAGTATACTGTGCAACAACGGCGTCGTATTAAACTTTTTTACTGGTACGCCGTTGCATTTAGCATCACACGACCATAAACAACCTATGTAGGTCGCTTACAGAATGTTCAGTAAGTATTACTCTTGGGAATGCCTGAGTTAACAGACGTTGGAAAATAGGTAGAAAGTCGGCAGAAGCTGATGCCCTCAAGCGCATAAGAGGTAGTGGCACTGCCCATGGGAGGACTGATTAAATTTGTCATTAGTCGGCAAAACACATCTCGCTTAACCCTAATTTGATTCGGGCATTGTGATGGCGAGTGAAGAAAAAGTGGCTTGATAAGAATTCAGCCCTACGTGGAGTTTTAAATAAAATCCAGTTGGAGTTTACGTACAGGCAAGCACAGACCGAAACAGTTTACCTAGCGGGCAAGAAGTTAAGTTTTAAGCAAGAATGATGGAAGGAGAAAATTAGATATCCGGAGAAGAATGGATTTAGACTTGATTTTACAATCTTATGCACAAAACAATTACCAGAGCCTGCATCATTTTCTGGGTTTACTAACAGCTTGCCACGACACGGCCCAGAATCATACACTGTGAATGCCAATTTGGAGGTGACTGTTTGCAAGCTTCTCCAGTGCGCTGGTTCAATCGTTGAATCCAACGATGTCCACTGTGGGCTCCACACCAGGATTTAGGCATGGACGGTGCCTTGCGCATGAATTCGTTTATATGGACGAAGAACCTTCGCTGCAGGAGACGAGGAGGGCGCAGGTGAATTACTAGGGCCGAACCCGCACTTTAATGACCCATAAAGAACTCTTTACCAGGATTTTCATCGACAACAGTAATAACCACAACACAAAGGATGTAGATGACTGGGCAGTCATGCACGCGACCTGTATACTTAGCGGGAGCGCTAACGCGTCTACTGCCAGAGAAACAGATGCCCGAGAACTGCTAGCGCACACCAGGTTGCGAGGGCCATAATTTGCTGGTCATGCCATATCAAACGCTCATAAACCTTGAGTAGGACCGGGTTTGGTCAACCGTAAGCCAACAGTTGATATCAACGCGGAGTGGTCGGCGAATCGAGCGAAGTTGAACTCTAGCAGGTATCTTAGTTCCGTGACGACAGATTTTTAAGTTTGATTTTTTCACGCTTTCCCCAAAATTGGGTAACTTGACCCAAATGTGATTAAACTCGCGTCGTCCGGCAGGGCCTCGTAGCTCAGGTGGTTAGAGCGTTGGCTGCGCTAAAGCCTGCCCCTTACTGCGTGGGTTCGAATCTCACCGAGGCGCCGAGTTTTTCACAGTTGGGTCAATATGAATTATTCAAAAATCTGTCAAAACATCAATGAATCCCCGAAAAATATTCCCGGTATGCCAACGTTCAATCGAATTTTCGCACTTCAAACTGATTAGCCGCAGACAAATATATGTTGACTCAAGTATCAACTGGATGACGACGGTCGGTACTCCACTCAGTGTATATATATGCATAACTGAGGCGAAAATAAACCTTCCCAGACATAAGTGAAAAGGTAAGGTGATCACAGGATCCATAGATTTATTTGCCTCACGTTTCGAAAGCAAACAAGCTCTCATCGACTTTTCCAAGGCAGTTGTTCGTATCTTGCAACTATTTGGTACTGACGTCTGGTCATGAAACCAAAAACGCCTCTGCCACGAGACGAAACAGCCAACGTCGTCTATCGGATCCAGTGCAGTTCCTGCTAAACAAAATACGTTGGAAAGACCGGGAAAAGGTTGCCGACCCACATGGGCAAGCACGCAAAAGCGGTATGAAGAATGGATAAGCTCTCATTGGTGGCGAAACATTGTGCAACTTCTGGCCATGCCTTCGCTTTTTTTAAACGCCGAAATCATGAACCGAGTGATCAATCAAACGGTCAGGGAGACGCTCGAAGCCTGGCACACCAAAACTACATCGATTGACCGCCGTATAACCCTGCCGGCAGCCTACTAAGCCCTAAGGGCGCAGTAAAATAACCAGTACTACGGGCGAGACGTCAAACCAAAGACGACAATAGTCAAACCCAGACCAAGCGAGCACACGAAGGTGTGCGAACGGACATCGGAAACGGACGAACACAGGGGACAACCGGAGGCGAACGCAAACCGAGGGGACTACCTACTGAGTCCGAACGCAGACGCGAGAACCCGGCAAAAATGCATGACAGTGACAGGGACCCCCGACCCGACGTCAACACTGGCGTGACAATCACCGTCCAAACGGTTACGGGCAGGTGAGAACGGGACAGGAAGGTGAGATACGTGGAGGCCAGACAACGGACAATGCAAACATCAGCAGTGAGGGCGGTCACCGCCACCCCCTCCCCTTACCTAACAAAGGATGAGGAGGAATCGATGAAACCATGACAGCACTCACCGGCGAGGTTGGGTCCAGCAACACCACTCGATTGATACCATATGTTTAGCTTCCTCAAACAATTTCAGTAAATGCGATTACGCTAACTTCACATATATCACGTCTTTGTGCATTCCGGCGAGTGTCGTGCCTTGGCGGGGGGAGGGGCGGGAATGCTTATACGCCACCCTCGGTTACATCAGGTAGCAGCTCATACGCGCCTTCCTGCGCTAGCTTCGAGCCCTGCTTCCCTCCTCTGCATTATCCCAATCAGGCGATTGGCAAAGTAGGTTTGAAGAAGAAGAAGGTGGGCTCACCGGAACAGGTTTATTAGGATGCTGACGTTTCGAAGAGCTTGGTCGGCTCTCCATTGTCAAAGCGTAAAATGCACTCAATCCACCAGAGATCCCAAGTGGCGTGTCACGTTGGACGGCCTCCTGCTGGTCGATTTTTTTTCTCTCTCTCTCCTCTCGCTGTCGCGGCCTATCAGGGGATGGTTGACTGGTGTTTTGGCTGCCTGCATTGTGAGTCACCATTCCGCCGGGGGGGAGGTGACTGAACCAGTGTCGGGTGGGCGGTCTGGCGGTTCTTCTTCTTCTTCACCGAGTAAACTCGCCGTCGGGCTGTCTCCGTATGGCCTCCTTAAGCCCGGTGTGGTTGTTTGGTCCTGAGCTCTACGATTGTGATGACGTAGGACTTTGTAGGCTGCAGGAAGGTCCAGATGCCGGTTTATGGAGTGGGCATCGGAGAACCACGCCTCAAGAGTTAGCCGTTCTGCTTTTGTGTTGCCCCGGCCTAAGATGGTAGCTCGCTGGAGATCGAAAGTATGCCCAGTTTCTCCAACGTGTGTTGCTAATTGAGAATTTGGGTCCAACCTCCGAGTAGCTGATTTGTGCTCTTGTAGGCGAGTCTGCAATTTCCGCCCGGTTTCTCCCACATAGTTGCAGTCGCCCTCTTTGCAATTTATTTTGTAGATAACTGCAGAGGTTTCGGCGGGTGACAAGGGGTCCTTAGGTTGCATCAGACGGCGTCGAATTGTTGCCTGTGGTCGGTGGGCTATGCCTACTCTGGCCGCTGCCCTGAGCGTGTTTCGAGTTCTGCCTTCGCTCTCTCGCCCTCCATAATCCAGCGAGTGGTTAAAATTTGTATGTTGACTAAAATTGTTTTTGAAAACTATCCATATGATATCAATCAAGTGATTCAGTAGGAGCAAACCTTGCCCAATCGCCTAACACACGATTCAGTGCGCTAGAAATCATTGACACGCCAGCACGAAGGAAAACCCTTAAATACTGCGAAGTGACGTACGCGACCTACTTATTATTATGGAAGCTTGTTTGCTTTCGAGACTTCGGGCAAATAAAACCCTGGTTCCTGTGATCGCCTTAACTTCTCATATATGTAAATATAAACTAGTACTTTCGGAAATGATTAAGTTTATGGTATAGCGCTGAGTCAGGGTTTTTAATCTAATTTTGTATCCCTGCTGTCAGTATATACAATTACACAACATATACTACCCTAAAAAATATTCTATACAATGTACATACTACGGGCCGTGCGTCCGCAGTTTATGAATATTAAGCTGTTATCTCACTGTCGCTGATGAAGTTCGGGTCAAATATTCATATCAGTTGTCATACCCAGCCTATAGGGCATAATTCCGGCTGACTTATTCCAAGTTAGCGCATTCCTTACTGAAGAGATGGGAAAGTTGAGATCTTCAAACCGGAGTGTTTACTATTCATTACGCGTGGAATGCAGAAGGACACAATGATGCGTCGAACCTCTAGGATTTTTGTAGAGCAGCGGCAGAATATGGACAAGAAGCGCCTGAGATTTCATCAAGTATTTCTGCCGTTTATATTACAAATCGTGCTATATATATGTATATTTTGAAATATTGAATTGTTTGGGAAACAATAAACTTTATTGTCAACAGCAGCGAAGAGACGAGTCCAAGGAATAAGTGTTGAAAGATGAGACACGATCGATGGGACAAGTGCTTTATTAGCTTGAAGTTTCGGATTCCTCCTCGAACGCGTCATCAGAGGCAACAGCAGATACGGATGGTTCACGAACAAGGGGCTGCAGTATTTATAGGATGCGGTCATCATGCTATCGCATACCTATGAACATTCACGGCTCCACCTTCATCCGACATATTCACAATTGATGTGCTAATTGTTTGATGGCCGACGTTCACGCCGTTAATTGCTGCAATTTCATCACGTGCGTTGGATGTTGGTGTGATAATTGCTAGACCATCTGATCCACCGACCCTCGTGTTGGGACAAGTGTTCACATGGGCGTTCCCCGCTTGGTTACTTACTCCGCGTAGGCGAAGTCACAGCACGGAGTATGGAAGGGGAAGTTCATTGCAGTTGTTAATGGATTGGGGGCCAGTAAACCATGATTCAAGTAGCTCCCGGCTCACGCGGTTGTCACCTCTTGCGAGAATTTCAGCCTCGTCGAATTTGAATATATGGCCGGATATCATCGAATGAGCCGCAACTTGAGAGCTCTCGTCATTTCTCCGCACCGCTGCAGCGTGATCGGCCTTTCTCGTTCGGAGCTGTTTTCCGATTTCTCCGAGAAGTTGCTTCGTCCGCAACTGCACCAGATCCGATAAACGAGTCTAGACGTTTCCAGCCGTGGCATTGGGTCTTTCGGTTTCATTACCAGACGCCTGATGGTTGCCTCCGGCCTGTTTGCAACTCCAACTCCAAGTAATGCGAGAAGGCGGTCGACAGCTTCCGAAGCGTTCTTGACATACGGAAGCGCCTGCAAAGATTTGGTGTCCGTACGGCTAGGCCTTTCGTACTTTTTTGCGTATGCACAGGTTAACAAAGTTGCGAGGGTAGCCATTGGCTTTGAATACCCGTCGGAGGTATTGTAGTTCGAAAATCTTGTCTTTCGGTTCACTGCAGTGCGTTTCGACACGCCGATAGAGCGTCCTTACACGACTGTGTTTTTCGGTTTTGGTTGCGATATATAGATGACACTTTTGTGGTCGTCAAAAAAGATCAGTTGAATCTGCTCCATACCAATATTAACTCGATATTTCCAGAAATTTCGTTTGCTTTCGAAACGGAAGTTGTTGGACAACTCCCAATTTTGAATGTCCTTGTAGGTCGAAAAATCGATGAATCACTTCCTACATCAGTTTATCGCAAAGAGGCGATTTCAGAGGTCATCCTACACTTTGAGAGTAACTACCCTGACTCTCACAAACGGGTTACAGTCTACAGCCAAAACCCACTGCTTTGATGAAACAAGTTATCACGCAGAAATGAAATGTCTCTACAAACTGCCCTCTCAAAATGGGTACCAGCATGACTTTATACGTCAATGCATGAGACACCAGCAATTTCAATCCTACGGCCGCTCAGGCACTGAAACCAACCACCTGGCGTACTTTCCCATACGTGAAAAATGTATCTGCATTAATAGAAGGGCAGTTAAAAGGTACCGAATGCACTAAGCACACCAACATGTAACTACCTTACGCACACAGCTTGTAGACCCTGAGGACAGGGTTGGCTACCTCGAAAGAAAAGTTGCTGTCTACAAAATCACATGTTCTAGTTGTGATGCCGTCTATTGTGGTCAAATTAGGAAATTTGTCTCAATCCGTATACATGAACATCAGTTAGTGGCAAAGAGTCTCGACCATCTATCTCACGTGGTCATGCACACGTTGGACAGTGGGTACAAATGTGCATGGGAAAACACTCGTATTGTTGACGCCTGCCCAATAGAGAACGGCCATGAATTCCTGGAAGCAATGCACTCAGATGAGGCATGCATCAACCGGCATATCGATTTAGATGCCACATACAAAATCCTTAAGGACAGATGTAAAATGCCCCAAACAATCACGAGAAGATAACTTTAACCAACCGTAGAATCTTTTGTCAGACTGGGTCTAGATATAAATTGTTTTTGTACGCGCGTTGTCTGAAGACGAGCTGGCGAAGCAGTATCCGAATTTTCTCAATAAAGTTTTCTACTTCACAAAGAATTCAATATTCCTTATTATATATTTTGGGATTCCCAGTTTTCAATTTGTATATATGTATTGACATGCATGTCGAAATGTCACTACCATATCCAGGCCGTCTTGGGTAAAATTCCGATTCGTGACGGTCCGCACTTGCCTACTGCACCCACTAAGATGTTGGACGTGGGTGTCTGTGAGTACATCTGTGCACACGCATAGAGCATAAAATATTTGGCCCTCCGAAAGTCCACTGTGTTGTTATTTCAGACGAAAGCGAGGACCGCATTGACCCAAGAAGTACATTATGCCGACAGTGTTTAGTGTGCGTGAATCATTAGTTACTCCCTTGTATGAGAATGATATACGAAGGCTCTCGTCAATTCATTTACTGCACAAACTGTAGTTGTTGGCCAACCGATAGATGCGGACTGGCCCAGGTCGAATGGAAAAGGAAAAATATACGCCAATTCTGAGATTTTCTTCCGCAGCACCGAGTGGTAGTGGTTTTGAAAATTGATACTTTATGAAGCAACATGTTTTGCCCTTGCAACAGGGGTCAGACTGCAGTTATCCCATACAGTCCACTCACATGGCCAAGATTTAAATCTGCGCGTGTGTGTGTGGCTCGCGGATTGCGACGGTTGTATTTCGCATCAGCCGCTACGCTCGATCTAATCATTAGTATGCCTGATTTCAACATGTTCCTGAAAGTGAGAGTGGTGAGGAAAATGGTCAATCTGGTAGTAATCCAAAACGCATTAAGTGTCCTAGTTTCTCGTCAACACAATAACCCAGTTCTAGTTGCAAACGAAGATCGGACTGCTGATAGAAGCGAACAGGCGAGTCCCAGGTAGCAGTTCAGAAGATGAAGATGCGATCACTGGGACAAGAAGTTTATTGGCCTGACGTTTCGGGTTCTCACTCGAACCCATCATCAGAGACATTCGCAGATAGAGGTGAAGGTGGCACCAGGAGTGCAGTATTTATAGCACGTGGCTGCCGTGGGACCGTATGCGCACTGCAATTAACAGTTCTCACAATCGCCGCTGGGGTCGTAATTGATGCGGCGGTGGCTTGGCGGTCCGAGTCCGAGTTGTTAATTGCCGCGATTTCGTCATCCGTGCTCGATGCTGGTGTGACGAATGCTCGGGGGTAGCCATTGGCTCTCATTACCCGTCGAAGATATTGTAATTCAGCAACCTTGTCTTCTATTTCACTGCAGTGCGTCTCAACACGCCGGTATAGCGCCCTTACGCAACTGCGTTTGTGACTGATCGGGTGGTTGCTATTGAAGTTCAGTATTTGCGTCGTATTTGTCGCTTTCCTGAACACTTTGGTTTTTAGGCCACCACAATCTTTGCGGCAGACGAGGACATCCAGGAAGGCCAGCTGATTGTTTTCCTCCTCCTCCATCGTAAATTGAATGTCCGGGAAGACGGCGTTGAGTTGTTCTTTGAAAGTCAGCACCTGATCCCGTTCGATGACGACGAAGGTGTCATCCACATACCGAGCCCAGAATTTCGGTCTGTGGTGTCGGAAAACCAGCGACTCCAGCCGTTGAAGGACCGCCTCGGCTATGAGTCCCGAAATCAGCGAACCCATTGGCGTTCCGTTCACCTGCTCGTAGATTGTTCCGTCGAATGTAAAGTACGTCTTGAGACAGAACTTCAGGAGCTGGATGATTTGGGCGTGTCCGAGGCGATTCTCCGTTTCGTCGTACTTCTCTCGTAGGAGTAGTTCGGACTTCAAAACACTTCTATTAAACGTGGTCTAGATGGGCAGTGTCCTTGGCTAGAGGCTGGAGACTCTTTTTTTTGAGACTGGTTCATGTGTAGATGGGGCCCAGAATGTGTTTTGTACGGGCAGGAAGGGCAGCCGATCCTGCGTCCCTAAGCCAGTCTCCGAAGTCATGCACTGTCTGGATATATGAATTTTGAGGGCGCGAAATAGGAGAAGTAAGTTAGTTGTCCGAGTTTACTCTGCTATAATCCATATGTAGTTCATAACTATTGTAGACCACGTCTTCCTGAGACGGACAAACCACTTCATAACTGAAGCGCGCTCTTACCTTTTCTTCGTTTTAGCATACTCGTAGATACGAATGTCATTAAGTGACTCTTTATCTAAGTGGCAGATAAAAGCTAAACGTTTGTAATGATTATGCCCTGACTATTAGTGTTGACGATTTCCGTTGACACTGGGAGTTCATGGCCAACACGGTGGTCTAAAAAGAGAATACCGATGCCTACTGTCTTCTCAGGTCACGCCAGCTATTCTGGGGCCTTTTCTATCCTGCAAAAGTGGGAAAGATGGACAGTTCTAAGATAGACAGCATGTTGGAAAGGTTTTACCCACTTAAAAAGATACCCACCGTGAATCCTCGCTCGTGAAGTTATTTGTTTTTGAGGTGCGCTTTCAGAGATCGAAGAGCTCGCAAATCGCCCTCCTATGGATTCAAGCACATTTCACATTTACATTCATAAAATATTAGTTTTGCATCCAGATACGTCGTCATTTTTTGCTTAGTGAAAGGAAATTATTTCTTTTGCAAAAGGTCTGCGATTAGGAGAGGTTTAAAGACAGTTACATGTTCATTCATATAAGATCTTAGATGTTCGTTTGTTATTACTGCTCATACAGAACACAGGGTGGTATACATTCATTTCAAAATGTTATAAGCATTATCGTGGACTTCTCAATAACGAAGCTAGACGCATGATTTTTCCAAACCGAGGACATGCAGCATGAAGCTTAGGAGCGCTGAACGCACTGAAACTGCAGAAAAGGTTCGAAATTCGTCAAAGACCAGAAAAGCTTTTCCAAACACCTCACCTGTGGATCATCAAAATGCCCTTCAAAGACAAGATATGATCCTTTGTTTTATAAATTCTGATTTTTGTATTTTAAATTGGTATCCCGAACGTCTGCCATTGAAGCATTCCACAGTTTTAAGATTTCTGTGTTTTCGGCCTACAAGTATCTCGAAGAATCTGATTTTTGAAAAAATTATACGTATAAACAAAATGGGAACGCAGGCATTCCAAGAAATATAATTTGAAGAAAAGTACGTTCTTTAAGAATGGGAGAAAATTTACTGATTATATTTTCGACGTCGGTTCCCCGCATTGTCATTAGACTCGAGTAAATGCGTAAAACAAGAATTAACATTTCAAACGTGCTGAGAAATCCATACTCGTTTGGTGCTTCAACAAGTGAACGGCCGCCGTGTGTGTCCGTCTGTATTAACTGACGACTACTTTACGCGCTCTGCTTGTTCACCCTAAGGATAGGGTTGACTATCTCAATAGAAAGGAAGTCGTCTACAAGATCCCATGCGATGACTGTCATGCCGTATATTGTGGCCAACCGGGAAAATCTGTATTTACATGCATCCACGAACAGCAACTGGTAGTTAAGAGGCTAGACCACTTGTCTCAAATGGCCGTGCACATTCCTAATACTGGGCAAACTTTCGCATGGGACAAAACTCGCATCGTCCGAGTTTGCCCATCTAAAAAAGTGATAATTCCTTGAAGCCATGTACTCCAATGCATCCTGCATTAATAGGCATATCGAGTTAGATACCACGTACAAAAATCTCAGGGAAAAGTGGAAGAGACAAACGCCGATCAATAGGGAATGACACACATGACGGCCGCTCAGTGGCTGAAGCACCAAACGAGTCTGACGGCGACACGGGGAACCGATATCGAAAAGTTACTCAATAAATTTTTCCCCTTTTTCCAAAAAACGTATTTCCCTTCAAGTATAAACCGAGTTTATATTTGGGCTACTGAAGTTAGATACAAGAATGAAACCAGGAGAAAATACTGACCGGAGAACACTCTTCCAACAATAAGTAATATTTCTGATTGCAATCGACAGGACAACCAGTCCGTGACTTAAAAGTAGATCTTTCGACCTTTCAACGCTTTATTACCAAAACAACGTGGTTTCAAAGCTCAGGCGTCCCCAGGCCTGGGTAGGGTTGGCCGACGACTACTAAGAGTTTCAAAAACGACCATAGCAGGCTTCTTCGTCTTTGTCAGCGACTTACTTTTTACATTCTTTGCATTCAGGACTTTTAAGGCACAATGGCTGAGCAGATCACCTAACCCGTTCGGTGAACGCACTCACAATATAGGTTATATTTCCGATAGAAAACACTACTCGACAATGGATCGTTGTGAGCTCACGTAACTTTTTTACGAAGAAGAACAAATTGCCCGTGATATATATATTTTTACCAATAAAGCGTCACTCAGTAAACATTAAAATTATCAACTAAACGGAAATCCAAGACCCGGAATCAAAACTCACGATTGCGTTTGCATTAGTGGATTTATTTGTCGAACATCTGTCATCTGAGTCAAAAATTGAATTTTTGCTCTTTGGCCATAGGTAAAAATCTGTTTGGCATATACGATTTGTCACTGACTGAATAATATAGTTAAAATGGTGCTACTTCCACGTCCTGTGGTTTCATTCTGAGAATCTGAAAAGGAAAAAAGCTCACATTTATTGTGAAAATCTTGCAAAATAGGTGTTATTCTAGTTACAAAATATAGTGGGAAGGTGTTCGGTGACAGCAGTTGATCACGATTACATCTCAACATTATTACCTTGACACACTCGATCTTACCATAAGAAATAATTTAAAAAGCCCTTGCGGCAATGCCTTACCGACAAAGTTTGAAATTACTGCTGTGGAACAGTTCCCTAGCATAAATATTTTCCTAACCTGCTGCTAGGTATACGTGCTTCCAAAAAGATATCTTCTATCAAAACATTCTCTATGCTAGCGTACTTGTTTGCCTTTACCAACTATTACGATATATGTAGCTCGTGTGATATTTAGAAAAAAATGAGCCTGCTTATTTTCTTCCAGATTTTCCCATCTATCTAGCCCGCACGTTAAAGCCTTTATATGAAGTGAAATGCAGGACAACTTAGAATTTTAGAGTAGCTTCTTAAGTTAATTATCATGATAGACTTTGCGATATTTTATAATTGCAGCATGCAAAGGGACTTCAAAGGGGCATTTTCTACTAATTTGGGGAACTTATAATTTCGTCTGGAACTGTTTGTTAGACCGAATTTTTCGGATTGCTTTGTCGAGAATGTATATGCGTTTTATGACCAATAACAAGTACAGCGGATTAATTTGTTATGAGACGGACCATCGCGTGGTCTATAGGCAGTAAGGCAGACTAGGAGCGTGCTTTTTGCAATCCAAAATGTTGACTCACACAAGCCTGAAGCGCAGTCGACCAGTCCGCATTAAATTCAGAATTTGGGATTTAGTAAGGCCTAGAAGATGAAAAAAAACATTAAAACCTCTGTCCTATGTATACTCAGTAGGCTTTATACATCAAAATACAAAGCATAGCATGTTGTGTTCCTAATCATAAGGGCCGCCAATGAAACGGACTTGGGGATTATAACTGAATGCGCGTTCTAAAGTGCGCTGGAGACTGTTTGAATGTATGCCACCAACGACATGCTACTAGCATAGTCTTCCGGTACTTCTAACTCGTGCATCACATAATGCTGATGTCAGTGGACTGTAATTCGATAGACTAAGTTGTATAGTTAAGTATATGGTCAGCCCTTTAACAGAGAAGAAAGGCACTTATATGGTACTTGCAGTTAGTTGATTGGTTTCAAATGTGTCTCGCGATAGCCTCGAACAAACAGTTAAGTGAAATAACATTAAACAAACCCCCGGGCTTGCGATATTTTGGGGATCATCCTTTCAAATCCTCGTCAATAGGTACTGATTGAATGGTTAGCGTGACCAGTAAAAAATTAATCCGTCTTGTTCCACTCTCATGCTTGATTAAAGTTTCTTCCTTAGTCCAAACAATTTTCCAGCTAAGACCTCGTCCAGCAGACTATGCTTCCCTTTCTACCCCTCGTTAAGGTGAAGTTACCTCGACCAAACGCAATAAATCATGCCGCGTTAAGAGGGCGCGGCGTTGATAGCGAGGTGGGGCGCGTCTAATCTTTGACCCATCATCTAATGGCCCGGGGTCATTTGCGGCTTTCTGCAGAATACTCGCTTGTTTATGCTTCAATCAACTGCCGCCCGCCCGCTCGTCGGTCCGTTCGCCGCGGAGGTGCTCTCGACGTCGTTTGTACTGACAATGTTTCATATGCAATAGGAGGGCGAAACCTTTGCCCAATCACCCAAAAAATGAGGCCAACTCCAAGTCCGCGTCAAAAGAGGACAAATGCGGCAAAAGGGTTCTTAAATATAAAGCTGCGATTGTGTTTACGCCCGGCTGTAACTGAACAGCTTATAGAGGCGTGCAGAGCATGATCAGGTTTGGTTTTGGGAGCGAGATTAATATTATTCTGTCCTAAAACAGTCATCCTAGTCAAAACTTGTATTCGCTATCACAGTACCGACGTCGGGAGTGTCCTAAGATGTTCTTTTAATAGTCAGTTAGTCGCATCCTGACACGGCTCTTTTTTGAACAGGAAGGCATAGAAAGATGATAACATAATATGCACGTGAAAATAACACTCCCTGAAACGTTTCACCATCCGCCGAAGAAACCTGTTGTGCTAAAAGGGCCAGTAAGTAGTATTGGCTGCTGAATAAGTTCATTCTTAATTCCGGAATGGGAAAAATGTCTAATTTAATGGCCACCGTCACTACTTCATATGCTCGCATTCCCGCTAAAGGATTCTGAGCAAACCCCTAAATACCCCAGCAATTAATCTGAACCTCTTGCCAACGTAGTGGGTCTGGTTGAGAGTTAGTTTTTCTCTTCACTTTTGAGGGGATTAACTATTGGGTATAGATTACCGGATGACTGACCATACCGTTCACTTTATTTGCCCCTGTTTACCAGGAATCACTCCCTCCTGATTCACCGTACAGCTTAGCAGTACCTTTTATTTGCGAGCAAAGATCAAGCTCCTTGCGTAAACGTTGGTAATGCGTATCCACCCCTCAAAACTACCCCATGAAAAGTGGTTCCATGTCTTCAAGAGGATGCCAGACAAGCAGTGGACCGGTGTATGTGAGAGGCAAGAGCTTAAGTGCTGGGGCAGTCACTTCCATGTTACATCAACACATTTTTCAGTATTGTAAAATCTGGCTCTTTTAATTTAATCATCACGTGCTGGCAGTCAGGACTCGATAGACCGCCACCTGAAATCTTAATTCGCTCCTTTTTAGGAGCGTGAAAGCTAAACTGCAAGCACATCTTGCGAATGTAATCAACCTGGGATCATAAATGTCCTCAAAAAACTCCCTATGCAGTGGAGAACAGGTCGTTTTCAGCAAGTGTAGACGAAGTGTTTAGTCTTGTCATCCACTGCGCTTGTGTACACCTCGGGACGTCTGGACATCAGAACGAGGTGAACGAGGAAAGGAAGAGGGCGCGATAGACGCTGCGGAAGCCTTTCTCACTATATACACGTAGTGACCTAACTCATACTGTGTGTCGAAATTTATGACTGATTGCCAATCACTCGCAATCGACATCATTTCATGAGTCCGATTTCTATGTTAATTAAGTACAAGTTTAAAAATATTAGAAACATAAAAGAAATATTAAAGGCAGTGTTGCATTGTTTAGAAATGTCGATTTTTTAGAAAAGCGCAATATCCTGAAAACTTTAGAAATGGCTCAAATCTAGTAAACTTCATTTTTTGATGTACAGAATGTATTCTGATACCAAAAACGCAGTAAATATGAGAGTAGCAATAAAATAACGTCTTATAACTGTGCTTCAGCGAAATGTACATCTAAATGTCGTTTAGTAATTAGTGTGATTTTATATATGGTGGTTTGTCAACAGCCTACATGTATATGTGTATCTATAGTAGTCCCTGTGAAAGTTACCGGCGTTATGCCCGTTCCGTGGAACACGCGGTGACGTCGATGCTTGTGACAGCCTAATTTTCGGGGAGCCACGACTGGCTCAGATCCTGCCAATCACTTGTGGCTACGCTCTCCCCCCCCCCGACTACTTGACTTTGTCTAGACCCCGGATTTGGGCGGGGAAAGAGGAGCGAGTGCGGTAGACGTTGCGCAAGTCGGTTGTCATTGTAAAAGGGATCACGCGTAAATCACCGTCTCTGCTCCCACTCCAACTCAATGTTTCCCGAAAATGTCCAAAAGTCCCGTTGACACGACTGCGTCGCTTATTTCCCAGCTGGTCCTTGATATTACCCATTTATTTTTGACGAATTCTGCATGTGAATACAAGGTGTCGACCGTGCGTTTTGCTGACCAGGCATAAAACTACTTGCAAATCGAACATGAAAACAACCACTTGACTACCCTTTACTTGTTGATTCAGGAGCAGTACAGTAGCAGAGCCAAATACCTTGGATTGCAGGTTATTTTCATGGACAGTAAGAGAAATATTCACTCGTTTTGCGTTAAATTCGTAGTTATCTACGAATTTTCGTTAAATAGGTGCGGTTTTGGGTAAAACAGACTGCAATTCGTGCACATGACTGGTTGTTTTTAACCTGGCATGAGTAACGAAACAGTTCGTCGCCAACTCGAAGGGCAGTACATATTTGGGCTGAGAACAACAGTTTATAATGGAAATCTTTTCTCAAACTAGTGCCTGAGGACCTGCCTGCTGTTAGAGGTAGGACAATGACTTTTAACAAAACACTTGCAGTGATTGTCAATAGTTGTATGTTTTCAGTGCGGATTCTTTCAAATGCCTTTATTAAATTTTTTTGGGATAACTGTTGCCACGGCTACAGCTATCAGCGCTTTTTTCGGAAAACCAACTGATTGGAATAATTGTTGTAATGAGAAGTCCACTTGTGAAACTGAAATTTCTGGGTGAGTTGTGATTGCAATCTTTCATGAATATTAAGTATCCTTTTCCTCCTAAAGCTACTCTGAATGTTAATCGGAGGTTCGTATGTATGTTACTGCACAAATGAAGCTGTTAGACATTGTATGAAACAAAGAAGACAATTTTTCGGGCCGAAAAATTTTGCCTACGCTGGCATATAAAACTTCCAAATACCTTGAAACAGACCTTTACAAAGGCATAAAATAGCAAATCTACACCGTCAGAACCCTTAACGTAGAAGTCAATTTGCACTGACAATTCACAAAGAACTATGTCCTATCGGAATACTGTATAACGATTCCCAAGTTCACTCTTTGGGACCTATTTGTTTGTTAACTTCTCGAATTGTAGCTTGCGTTCCTGCCACCAAAAACAGTCTGAGATGTTTGTCTCAAAATCTCTAAAACCCCGCACTGGACTTTGATTTGCCGATGACGCATATATTTTCTATTTAGTATAAAATATGAGAATTTTAGTAAGGGTAAAATTAAATGTGCGACGTCCTTCAGGAACTCGAGATAGCGCATCTACTATATGCTTTTTTCTACATGGAAATGGCAGGCCGGGCTGAAGATTATTAAGCATTAAAAAGTTTACAAAGCCAATATATGCAACTCGTGGGTGTAAGAGCTGAAAAAATATGGTGTGTTACAGAACTGACAAAACTCCCAATAGTTTCCGCATATATTCTAAGAAATAATTCTCTATCATGCGCTGTTTTTGCTCATTCAAACGCTGGCATTCCGCCACGACTGATATGTCAGGAAATTGCCCCGTGCGATAATCAAAATTATAACAGCACTTAAATAATCCGCCCGAGCTGAAAACACATTTCATAATTTCAGCTGGCACTCCACGAGGTTTGTCGCCGACAATGTTGTACTTTGACTCAACGGGAACGACAATGGAAATCTAGGAAGTTGAATCCTGATGTGGTAGGTCCCGGGCATAGGAATCCTCGCAATACAAGTGACCTTAAACTAAAAGCCAGGAAGATTAATCTAAAGGCAAGAGACACGGGTGGGAGGACGGGCCCAAGGTTAGAGTTAAAGTTTGGGTCAGGGTAAGTGTTTAGACCTGGACACCAGAAGAGGGATCCTTCTCAGAATTGAACGAAAGGTCGCTCGCACTAGGGGGGTTCCCTTTCCAAAGTCACACTTCAGACTGTAATCGCGGCCTCGTAAATGGCAAGTGCATGTCTGAAAGATTATAGGCCAAAGCCATCTCATCCAGGGAGCTAAAGGAATCCAAATCGGTCTGTACGTGACGAAAGTATGTATTTACGGACAAGGTGGGGTAGTTATCTTCTGACAAACTGATGATTCCAAAGTCTGCTGGATGAAAATACGTGGTCTCATTATATTTTGCCGGATGGCAGTACCCTACATGAGAGAACTGGTTGAGGTAAACCCATCTGGCGAGAGGTATGATATCGCTCCGGATAAAAGGATCAACAATGTGAACAGCCTAAAGTGCGCTCCACAGTTGCAGACACCCGCTTTGATGCGTTAAAACAGCTGTTTCAGAAAGCACTTGACACGCCACCGAGATCACATTGACGACGACATACGCCATTTTAGCCTGTGACTGCCGATGCTCACTAAAATGCATCTAATGCTCCTATCAAACAGCCGAGGTTCCAAATCAATGGTTATATCCGGAAAGGGTGCGTTTATCGGCATGCGGGCGTCTTACTTCTCATCAGAAACTGCAATGGGGAAGACTTCAAACCAGTGCATTTTTAAGGACCTTGGGCTTCGTTCATTGGACTACTATGGATAAATAATTTTCAGTAGCGTCAAGTGGTGCATGGAATGCGAAGAATGTTGATTACCGACAAGACACACTTATTTTTGTAGTTTTCTGCAGAAACCTTTTCTAGAGGGGAGGGGTTGTCTTGCAGAACGCTAATAATTGGTGTTCAACATGTGTTGCATCGGGACATTCCGACACGAGTTGCGTCGGAGTAGCTGACGCATATCCTAAAGACATCAGCAAAAGTCTGGGCAACGGTATAGAGAAGAGCCCCCCTTAAGCGTCATTGGGCTGTGGATCGTGTCATATGGGGTTTTATCTTGACATACATTTGCAGGCTGTTGCAGAACTTACACCGCCAACAATAATTACTTCCCATGACCTCACACCTTAACTCATTTCCATTGTCGTACAATAGCGTAGGATAAGACTTTCGGTAAAAATTCAAGCAATTTCTGTGTTTTCGTTCATTTTGTCAGCTAACTGTCTAGCGAACTGCCCCATCCATAAAATTCCCTTTGCCATAAACTCCGTATGGTACAATCCACAGTCTAGTGGCAGTCAAGTGGGGTCCTTCTCTATACCGTTGCCAAAGCTTGCTGTCGTGTTTTGATAGGTGTCTGGAAAGACAACTTTGTGGAAACAAGCCCACTACCTCAAAACACTACCTTGCAATACATGCAAGATGGAGGACAAAATTAACTGTCCGTTTGAGTAGGAACTGAAGTTCCAACTTTCTAAACTGTCAGGTTATGCCGATAGATGTCTTGACGTTGAACTGGTTACTGCTGACAAAGTTGAGTCATCAAGCAAAAACGAGGCGTAACTGTAGACCGTGCTGTTGCCTCCAAGTGTAAATTGTGCATTAACACTGTTGATGTCCATAAGGACTAAGAGACTTAAAGGGAGAGGCTGTTTTAGGACAGTAGGCTATCAGTATGTTGTTAGAGGCGTTAATAAAGGCGCCTTAGGACGCAGGGTCAAAATTCACAGTCTGCCCTTCAGAGTCATATATGTGGGGCAAGTGGCTGCCTTCGCCGCTTTTTAATATCTAATTCGAAATAAGTCATTTAATGTGCCGGTACTATGGGCCTCGTGTAGACTTCCTGCATGTATTAACGGAATGGCCAAGAGAAGCGAAGAGACGAGTCCCAGGAAGCTGTTTTGAAGAAGGAGTCACCATTCCTGAGACAAGTTATTTAATAGTCTGACGTTTCGGATTTCTGCTCGAGCGCATCAGAGACAGAGCCAATGGCTACTTGCGCAACTTTTTCAACCGGTGCATACGCAAAAGGGACGAAAGTCCCAACCGCAAGAGCATTAAATTTTGGCGAGCGCTTCCGTATTTCAAGAAGATTTCGGAAGCTGTCGGCCGCCTTCTCGCACCACTTAGTGTTGGAGTTGCACACAGACCGGAGACAACCATCAGGCGTCTAGTAATGAAACCGAAAGACCTGCTACCACGGCTAGAAACGTCTGGAGTCACCAGAGGTGACAACTGCGTGATCCTGCCGCACGATCAAATTCGTCTAGACTGAAATTCTCGAAGAGGTGACAACTGCGTGAGCCGGAAGTTGCTTAAGTCATGGCTTACTGGCCCCCAGTCCACTAACAAGCGCAATGAACTTTCCCTTCATACTGTGTGCTGAGACTTCGCCTTGACGGAGTAATTATCCACGCGGGGAACGCCCATGTGAACACTTGTCCCAAACACCAGGGTCGGTAGATCAGTTGGTCGACCAATAATCACACCAACATCCAACGCACGGGATACAACTGCAGCAATTAACGACGCGCATATCGACCGTCAGCGCATTATATGCAACGATCCCTGTTGATGGCGGGTGCGCGTGAATATTCATAGGTATGTGGTAGCATGGCGACTTCACAGGCCAGAGGCAACCATCAGGCGTCAACTGATGAAACCAAAAGACCCACTGCCACGGCAAGAAACGTCTGGAGTCGTTTATCGGATCTGGTGCAGTTGCGGACAATGAAACTACGTCGGAGAAACCGGAAGACAGCTCCGAACGCGAATGGCCGAACACGCTGCAGCAGTGCGGAGAAATGACGCCAGCTCTCAAGTTGCGGCTCATTCGACGGGTTCCCGCCACACATTCAAATTTGACGAGGCCGAAATCCTCGCAAGAGGTGACAACCGCGTGAGCCGGGAGCTGCTTGAGTCATGGTTCACTGGCCCCCAGTCTATTAACAAGTGCAATGATCTTCCCATTCAATACAGCGTGCTGAGACTTCGTCTAGGCGGAGAAATTAGCCACGCGGGGAGCGCCCTGATGAACACTCTTACCAACACCCGGGTCAGCGCGTCAGATGGTCGAGCAATCATCACACCAACATCCAACGCACGTGATGAAATTGCAGCAATTAACGACGCGCCACGTGCAACGATCCCTGATGAAGGGGAGGGAGCCGTGAATGTTCATAGGTATGCGGTGGCATGGCTACTGCATCCTATAAATACCGCAGCCCCTTTTGCAGGAACCACCCGTATCTGCCTGCGGCTCTGATGATGGGTTTGAGCAGGAATCCGAAACGTCAGGCGAATAAAACTCTTTTCCCAGCGATCGTGTCTCCTTCTTCAATAACGGAATTGTGAAATATCTTTACTTTTTAATCTCACACATTCCAACAATTTTCTTACAAAATGTCGCTTTGTGTGAACAAAGGTGTGTAACAGATTCCTTACATCTGAGCGTCCTGATACGCTGACGCCACTGGAATAGCTACTTAAGAGAGTAGAGCCTTATTGGGCAAAATAAATATTAATGCACCTGCACTGAATACGTTCGACGCCATGAAATGGGAAAATAAGGAAACCAAGAAAATCAGGAAGTCTACATGCGGGTTTTCCCATCCAGTAAATGATTTCTACTGAACAAAAATTCGTACGTTAGGGCCGATCGGAAGGCTCAACATAAGTCGACATACTTTATTTCCTTTGGCGGACTATTATTAGCAGATGGGTCTCTGAAGGCTCTTTAATTGCCTAAACGCTCCAGCCGCCCATTGTATTCAAGGGGACGGTATGGATATCGGTCAGTCGAACTGTTTGCCGTAATGAGGAAGCAGGTGAAAAATCTGTTTAGTTGCATTTGGGATTAAAATGTCCAAATTCGTCAGAGCACTCGTCAGAGTTATCATATTGGAGGGGGGATTATTTAAGCCAGGGGACGGTGTTGATATAGTAATGGCGCTAAACTAAATACGCTGTATAACCTCCGGAATTTCCATGTCAATCATTGTCCCGAAAAGATTGCCGGGAACGAACACACATGTTCTAGTGGTGTTCGAGAATGAAGTAAAATATCGGCAAGATTTGATTTTGCGGCACCATTTGATTGACACCCTACGGTTAGCTTACTAAAACAATATTAGTTGGCATACCTAACTTAGCCACTCGCTGGATTAAGAAGAGGAAGAGGGTCCCTGTAGAGTTCAAAGCACGCGCAGGGAAGCGAGTGAAGGGTGGCGTGTAAACATGCTCCCCCCAACACAGGCACTTGCTGGATTAAGAAGATAAGGAGAGCGTAATCACACGTGGAATGCCGCGGAAAAAACCGCGTGGTAATTCTCAGTGCATGGGTACTGTAGTGGAACCGACGGAGTTTCACACTGTCCAAACAATCCCATTAGCCGCTCGCTGGACTGAGATAGTTAGGAGGACGCGAGCGGGGCTCGAAGCACGCTTACGGAAGCGCGTGTAAAATAAAAACGGAGGTAACTGAGGCTGACGTATAAGCACTCTTCCCCCGTGGCACAGTCACTCGCTGGATTAAAATGGTAAGGATGATGCAAACACAGGATATTTGTAAAATCAGCATATCCGCATTTGCTAAATTTGTTTAGGAATTTAACTGTATGGTATCACCAAAGTGAGACTGCAGGATCAAACCCCACCATGAAATCAATATGCCATGTTAATAAATGGTATGTCCATGTATAAATTAATGTTTCCGGTAGATTTAAATAGGTCATTTAATTCAGTTGTGAATAATTCAACGACATCCGTGGAACTCGAACCCAAAGCAGCATGAGGAAGGCTTGAGTATAGTCAATACTCTAACTACGTGAACTATGAGACCCCTGGGGGAACTGAGGGTTTTAATCACATTTGGGCCAGATTACCCGCCTAGATACCGCACAGTATGGAATCCAAAAATTCTGCTACAGTAGGCTGACTGCGCAAACAGGATTTGTCGAGCAATCCATTCAGAATCCACCATACTACTATCAGTTTCAGTTAGTTAATTAATGTTTTTTGGCAGAGTTAAATAAGTTGACGGCCCCGATGGGACTCTGACCCGACAGTTAGACCGTCAATTCAGACGCTGTCCTCCGTGTGCTGTACAACAAGGTGCAGCGGGCATGGTGACTTGGGCGTGGATTAGTTTATAGTGGTAGTTGGCTTACGCACCATCTACCGCTCCCTCTTCTCCTCCTTCTCCTCCTCCATCTGGATCCGGTGTCAAGACAGAATCAAGATGATTGGGGCGGGGTAGGACGCAGGTGGACTGACCCACAGCATTAAAATTGAGCCCAGACAACGCTCCAACCCCCACTGAGCTATGAAGTCCAACCCGGAGGGCCGTGTACCTTGTACAATTAAATGGTAACTTAGTTAATTGACTAAAAAAACAAGGGTAGCCGGACAGTTGTCTTCTGTGTCCTCGTCATACGCCGGATAAACAGACAGCGTAGCTGGTCCAAAGTTGAGGTCCAATGAGTGGGTCAGCGGCTCCAGTAAACCAAGGTTTGCTAGTTCGGCGACGCTTATCGGTCTCTGTCAGATCAGTGTTCGCACACGACTTTCAGGACGCGGAAACTGTTTTCCTGCAAAGCCGGCACTTTCCAAATAGGGATGGCGGGGACTTCAAAACAGGACGGTGAGGTTTCAAAACAGGCGGCCATCTATCATGTCACAGGACGGCCAAGAAAACAACTCCCCATTAATCTCCCACGAAGACTGACGTGAAGCAGACACTGATAAATTAAGGCTGGCCGACAGTTGCCTTATCTGAGGATAATGAGCGGTTATGCTAACAAAACATCGTTTGGATCTCGTTTATTAGGTCATTTGCAAAGTGCGGTAGATGGGCGATCGCTTCTTCTTCTTCTTCTTCTTCTTCTTCTTCTTCTTCTTCTTCTTCTTCTTCTGATTATCTGCAGTGAAAGTGTCCATGCGTAAATCGTGGGCAAAATGCACATCATGACCGGCAGTTCGGTAATTTTCCCTGGAAGAGTCGTTCTCAGCGTTCGCTGGGCTTTTCAAGTGAGACTGTATCTGCCGTCACGGTTCGCGGTCACAAAGTTTGCCGTCTGTAATACGGACCTCCCCGTACTGCAGGACGTCTAGCCCTAAATCTCGAAGCGGGCCCATTTGGACACATGCGCATTCACGCTAACCTGTGGTAGACAACCGCCGGCTACATCACATCATCACACTTTCCGCCAGCAGCACCCGTACCTCCCACCGCCACCATCGCCCCCCACAAAGACGCAATTGCCACCTCCCACGCATTTGGGCTCCTTCTCCATGCGGCTGCATGCGTGATTCGAGACTGTGAAAGTGCGTCAAGAGCCGTGACTTGGAAGGTCGCTGACTCAACTCAGTCCACGCAGTCTGCCCAGTTGTGTGTGTGTTTGTGTGGAGTGGCAGACTGGTAGGCGGAGAGCCAGGCTGTCACGGCGCCGTCTCACCTGCACCGTGACACTCTCACGCACGTTAGGAGTGTGGAGGTGTGCTTTATGGGTAGTGCCTCTCAATTGACGACTGTTTGGTTGTCCTACCTTGAAGGATGGCGTCCCAGGCAAATGCAGGGCGGCGTGTTACCCTTCTGAACCTAAGGATCTGTAAGAGTCTACTAGGCCAGGCTCTGGAAGCCATGGCTCTCTCAGTCTGGTGTGCGCTGACAGCTGGTTCCCTGCCAGTGGATGCGTCTGTCCTCTCGCTGGGAAATACAGGTCACCGCAAGTCACCGTGCCTGCTTCATCTGGCTGCAGGACACACGGTGGACATCATCCGAAGCGACGGTTGAATCACCAGTACGGTCCCTGCTGGTGTTAGGATTAGGGTTGTGAGCCGGGGTTGAGGAAGTTTCTATGGGGTTTCGTGTTATTGGTACGTTTTGGACAAGGAGGGTTCGGTTTAGGGTTAACATTTTGACAGGAGAATAGGAACTCTCCCCTGGAAACTAATATTAGGAAACTGCATTTCCCTGTCCTACCGTCGTCTATTTCTGCAGCTTCTGTAAGTGGTCAGACTGAGTCGACCTCGTGCAGACGCCGTACTACAGAAGCTTTCTGACCACACACAGAACATACAAACAACCGTTTTGCAGGTGTGATGTACGCCATTTACTCCTCCACAAGGGCGTGCCAATCTGTGACAATCCAATCTGGTCGACGAAGGGAGATCAAGTTAGGGACACCATGCGATAAAAAGAGAGAGAGAGAGAGAGAGAGTACGCGTGTTTGAATGGCACAAGAACTGCCGACCAAGAATCTATGGCACCATTTACGAGCAATGCCCTAAAATCTCCGCAATACACGCCCGGAACGCGGCTTTCACTTTGAAAAGCTGGCACTTGTTTAGGTACTGTATCCTTTGAATTCGACGTCTGTACGGTGCGTGACCTATCTCATGAAATGTTGGCTGAAATTCTGAAATGCGTTTTCGATTAGGAAGGATTACTTGGTCGCGGTTGTGATACTGATTATCTTAAGGCATACTCTTATAACATTTTAGACGTGACAGGATGCCGGCTTTTAAAGGCACATCTTTTCAATCTCCTGTAGAAAGCCAACTCTGTAAAAAATGACTACATAAGTAGCATGCATTTTTCCCATTGATTTTCGATGGTTTTGGAAATTCAAATATATTTTATAGCAACCACAAACAAAAATATGCCTTATTTTAGTCAATGAATAGAAAATCACGTCTTCTTTATATTTTATACTTAAGGAAGGAGTATAATTAGGTTTAAAAAAGTTTTCTAATTGCCGAAAAATTTGGAGCCTGATCATTCGTTACATTAGCGTTAAGTGGTTACACTCTACAAGGTGCACGCGTTCCCCGTAAAGAAAATCCCATATTTTCTATGTCATTAAAAAGATATCATACAGGGTCCATAAAATTTTGCAATGCATGCGGACCATGTTGCTCATTGCATGAGAAGCAGTGGTAAATGGACAGGTACGATGCTATTTGAACGAACATATCGCGGTCTTAAAAAGTGTCATAATAAGAAACTTTTTTAAAACCTAATTATACTCCTTCCTTAAGTATAAAATATAAAGAAGACGTGATTTTCTATTCATTGACTAAAATAAGGCATATTTTTGTTTGTGGTTGCTATAAAATATATTTGATTTTCCAAAACCATCGAAAATCAATGGGAAAGAGGCATGCTACTTAAGTAGTCATTTTTCACTAAGCACGCTTTCTATAGGAGATTGAAAAGAAGTGCATTTAAAAGCAAACATCCTCCGGAGTCTACAATATTACAATAGTATGCCTTAAGATAATCAGTATCACAACCGCGACCAAGTAGTCCTTCCTAATCGAAAACGCATTTCAGAATTTCAGCCAACATTTCATGAGATCGGTCGCTCACTGTATCTCATGACCCTCTTTGAGTTTGCTTTTGCAGATGAGTTGGCCTCGGAATACGCCATGCCGTTACATCTCCCCAATACTATTAGAGACTGGTTTTATCGCAAACTAGCTGAGAATCTTTTTTAAATAAGTGAATAGTCGTCGATATTTAGAAACGGTACTTGTAATTACTAACACCAAATACTGCTGCGTCAGAAGACACTAATTACAGAACACATTACCACGCCCAACGCCACTTAGCCGCAGGAACAACAGCATTATCTGCTCATCCTCTGGCAAACGTCTGTTAGTCCAAATAATTTAGGTTTAAATAGCAGTAGTTCAGCAAACAGACACGTTTAACTGCTACCTGCAGGAATACAACCTGCCGTATGCAAAGCGGACGTTAAAACCGCACAATTAGGTTGGTCAAAACGAACTTCGCTCCAGGCACAAAGTCAACCGAGTGGAACGGGGACGTCAAGGATGAGGAGGTCTTAAACACTAACCTACTTCACTTCAAAACCAACAGCAAAAGCACGTCAAAGTTCTTGTTCTCAAGCTACTATAAATCAGCAAAAAACTGGCATTGCTAGTGTCCGGAAACGAGTTCTCCTACTCGACCGAAAATCCGGTGATGATCTAAATAATTTTACCCGTCCTAATATAGCTAAAGGCTTTAGGGTAATGTGATACCGTACTACCAGCACATGTTCTAGCCAAAACCCATACGCGTGTATTTCGCCGATGTTCTGCAGCTGAATGGTGCAGCTGCGAGGGGTTCGGCTCGTCAGGGGGTCTCCCAGCATACTAGCCCATGGGTTTTTGTCAAGTACCTGTGCTGTTAGTATAGTACCACTTTGCCCTAAAGTATACTACTAGCTGCCCGCTGTGGTTGATGGACTTTGGCCCTAATATGTTTAAAAAATCTCGGTCTCAGCACTTAGGCCTTGATTAAACTGATCTACTGCAACTTCGTAGATAATTTCTGAGGAAATAAAAATCGACAATAGTTAAAGGCTCCCATTTTCATCTAAACTTTATCTGCTATTAAGGATATTCTCATCAAATTTTCCGTGTTTTTTCCAAAAAATCGACTTAAAGTTTTGGGGTTTTAATTTAACTGAAGTTTTTAGATACCTCCCACATATATCTGTCCGTGTAAACTAAACAATGAAGAGTATTTAGAATGAGCTTTTTTATAGTCACCTGCCCTTTAAAACTGAAAATGAATCTCTCTGTATAAAGTTCGCAATTATGCGATTTTTAAGGGATTTCAATTTCCATTCATACAGCGTCCTACATGTCCCTTTATTATTGCTGTTTATGAGCTATATGACATGGTCCATGGTCATTGAAAATATTGTGAGCCCTATATGAAGTCTTTTCAAGCGCGTGGACTAAGAAGTCTATTTTCGTACGAAGAAAGTATACAGTATGTAATAAGAAAACCTTGTGCCAACTACGACTGCATGCAGAGTTTGAACCATTCGAGAATTTACAAAGTTTTTTAAAACCTACGGCCCTCCTTTTCTTGAGTATGTCATTCTCAGAAGACGTGGTATGTTACCAAATGGGTGCAAAAAGGAATATCTTTGTGCGTGGTTTTCATAAAATACATTGGAATTTATAAGTGCACTGGAACTCAGTTGGAGTAGTCCATTGAGCTACAGTAGTCCATTTTTGCCTAGTGTAGATTTTGAAGGACACCGGAAAACAGCGTATTTAGAAGCTCCTACTTTGACTTTAATGTCCTAAGATTAGACTGCGCGATAATACGTTTTCCAACCCCTTCTAGGTAATCCTTTCTGAACGAAAACGCATTTCGGAATTTCGGTGAAGAGCTCATGGTGTAGATGGGGTGTCGTTGGTAAAGGCATACAGTGCATATTTATTTCCATTCAAAGTAAAATTGAATACGGCAAACGGGAACTGGTAGGTAAACGACACACGTTGGTTTATCTTTAGAAAGGATACTCCAAAATTCACATAACCAAGTCTGTGTAGATATATAATTAAGCAAAAATGAAGCCAATTATCTACATTTGTGCGTCCTGATTGTTTTTTCCAAAACAAAGTCCCAACAATGAAATTAAAATGCCAATTTTTGACAGTTCCACCATCGATTTCGCTGATGTCCATCGTGTGCCCCACAGTTGCAGCAGCAATGGGAGCAGGTACGGTGACTTACGCAGGGGTTTATAGTGCCGGTAGACTTGCGTAGCATCTACCTACACTCTCTCCTCCTCCCTCGCTCGAGCCCGGTGTCAAGACAGAGTCAAGATGACCGGAGACGAAGGAGGCCGCAGGTGGATAACTCGGACGGATCCTCACCTTGGCGTTCCATCACACCCCCTGGTCCACACAACAAATGACCAGGATAAATACCAATTTACGGGATGCCGACGAACACTGAATGGCTCCCAAGCCTTCATATAAACAATTCTATGGCCCACAAAAAAGCCGTGTGATAACGCTTTCCAGGTAGTAGTAGGCTAGACTTGATATTGCAGACCGAGCACGTTGCCGCAAGCCTAGGTGTTGGAATTTGACATCGGCATAAAGCTACCATCTGCAGCAAGGTCATAATAATTAAGGACCCGATTAAATCCCCCCATGTCTACGTTTGTAATAACACAGGTCAGGACAGATGAAAACTCGGATAGCGCAAGCATGAGCATAAACTGACTGTGGGATGGAGTGATGAATATCCACAGGCGGCTGTTTGCGCCCTCAAAATCAGTCACGAGTTCAATTTTGCGCCATCGGGACAACTGTTCAGACGGGGATTTCAATGAAACCTGGGCCCCTGATGAGGACTCAATCCTGCATTAGCATGGCGATGCCTGCGCAGACTTGCGACACTGACCACTGATTGGCTGATGATCCAGAATCCCTCTACCGGCTCTAGCTCAGCCCTCGCCCCCTGATAGTGAACTTCAGCTCGATGACCCGGTAAAAGAAATAAATGGGTCAAGCCCGCAATCAGTTTTCCTCTTCCTTACCTGGCCTCCGTAATTTGAGCGGTAATCCCGTCCTAGGTTTTTGGAAGCATTACAGGGGAAGAGCTTACCCTGATAAAATGTTAGTCAAAAATTTGGAATGCGGCTAAATCAGATGGGTCTGCGTAGGTGTAGTTATAATTTTGCTTAGAGTGCAGGATATTTCTTTCACTTCAAGACCTCGACGTTTGGGAGATTTCTCTCGAAATGAAAACAAATTTCAGATCCGTTAGAAATGACTACTCGACCTGTATCAATGATTTTGACTGATTTTTAATGCTCTTATAATTTCTAACATATTTCGCAAAAAACATACGCGAAAGTACCCCTACTTGTACTTATTTGGTAGGGAATTACATCTGCCAGTTAGCAACTTAAAGTGTGGCTTACAGTTTAAAAGAATCATTAATTGTGAAATGTCTGAGCAAATGAAATGTCAATTAAGATAACACTTCTTGAAACTCTCCATTCAGTAGTGCGCAGTTTGACGAGCCTCGCGTAGTATTCCCTATCTAACAAGAAAAACTGCAAAATTTCTTTCAAATTGGAAATCTACATCATGCAGTTCGGAAAACTGAAAAGCGATTGCGAATGCTAATAATGCTCATTATTACTCAGGAATTGAGAAATATTTACACATGAAATGCAGCCCTTTCACAAAAACGAAAAATGAAGACGTACTTTGCTACCAAATGCGAAGAATGGTTGCTCCGAGTAAAAGATATTTGGTTTATATTAGAGAGCGTCAGTCTCAATAAACCGCCAAGCATGCGCCATAGGGAACCTCCATGCTAAAGCCTGTAGCACTAGGATATTGAAGCCTTTATTAGTTCTGCTTATGGATATCTCCACCGGCGTGATTTTTACCTGTCTGTATGAAGAAATAGCTATTAAATATTGATAATTATTCCTTTACCTTGACGCTCAACATCTTCAAAACGACTGTCGCTGGCAGCGTAATATGTTTAGCATGACCATGAGAGATAAGAGATTACACTGGTTTAGCATAATAAGCTTGCGCTATTGCATAACTGAACCACGCAGAGCAGTCTTTAGACCAAACCTGAGGAAGGCATTTAACGCTTCCTGGCCTCACCGGATTCTCACATCTCGCGTGGCCTTCCCAGCTGACTGCTCTACCCGTCTACTGGAGGGCTTGTCTCATCAACCTGTTTCGGCAACGATCGGATGACGGACTCCAAACACACACACGACCAGTCAAGGGTGTCTGTCCTACGGGAAAGGTGGCCACAGGGGTTTTACGTCCGCGACCTATACATTCATAGTGGACTGGCAAAATCAGTATGAATAATTGGTAAATTTGTCTTACGGGCGGAAGAATCTTAATGCATTGACATATAACAAACACAATTAAGCAGGACAATTAAAAAATAAACATAAAGTGTACACAACGATCGTCTCTCAAGTCTCTGAACTGAGTTCATTGTGGATAATGCACCAGACCGTCTAGACCAGACGACCTAACCTTGTACGATGAAAAACGAAACCCACTCAAGTAGGTATTCTTTATATGCCACAGATGTTTGGGAATCTTCACCCCATCCTTACCCCTGTTTCTGATGCTCAGCCAATGATGTCGGAGGACGGGTAAGACGTGGTTTTGAAGCCCCTCCTGATGGTCTCAATACTTTTGGTGTTGGATTTAGGGTTAGCAGTGAGGGTTAATGTCTAGGGGGTTAGGGGTTATGGTTAGGGCAACTATTCCTCAACCACTCAAAGTACAACCGAGCATTCCCAATAAATTTTGCATACAATTGCTTGACTCCGTCGCCTGTGAGTCCCCAAGCCCCACCTGTATAAACACCCATTATCACCGGTCCCGTATAACAGGTGGCTGGGGTCTGTTTGCCTCAGATGCGGCTATATAACCACATCTGACCGACGGATGGATGCAGAAAGTCATCAGAAAGTTTCGAGAAATCAACATGATTTTTGCGCAGTCTATACTTGTGAGAAAATCCGAATTTAGCAGTGTTTTCAAAACAGGGGCCTATGCGTTTATGCCAGTATCTAAAAATACCAGCATGGGTCTTCTTTGTACAAAAAGCCTGCTGATTCGTAATACGTGCTTGTGGTCGATTCCCTTTCGCCACCTTTACGGACTTCGTAAAACAAATTCTGTCGACAGAAAAGGATCTTGGCTTCTTTGAAAATATTTTTTGCCAACTTTGGCCGAAAGTTGCTCTGTTTATACTCACGGGAGACATTTGTACAGCAAAAGCATCCACTGTTTTCGGAAGTTCTGGAGAACAGCTTTTACGGAAAAGAAAGAGGGGGGAAGCCTTGCGCAGGAAAGTAATAAATTTTATATTCACTTCATGTCCACGAAGTTCAATGACGTCAGCAGTTACACCTACAAGGGGCTGTGTTTCGACTGATCTATATAAAAGATCAGGCAGTGGAAATTCGTATTCTCCAATTTCTGTCCGAATATTTTCGTTTGTTAGGTTTGATCCACTGGCGGGCTGAATGATTATACGTTAGTCGGTTTGAAAGCTAAAAGTGGATTTGAATCCACCAAGCATGTCAATGGAGGATCGACACGACTTACATTAGCATTTTCCAGTCCCATGGCAAGGATTTGCCTACCATTGGTGTAAAAAAACCGTAATTGTTCACGAAGTTTTAAATCATCCATATTTATATAGTTGATGCGATTAACTATATACTACCAACACTTGGACCTGTAGGCGGAACCCTCATATCTATACAGATTCGTCGCTGCTTTCGAAATTTTATTATTCCCATAATGCCTGCACTAGAGATGGTTTTTTGATTGCCAGTCATCGTCAAATCATGCTACATTTGTACCGACCATTCAGCTTCACTTATCCTTTCAGCTATACTTAGGAAGAGATTCGTTGACACTTAAAATATTATTTTGTGGGTAAGTGCAAATTCATTGGAACATTCGAAGGAGTTCGATATGATGACACTGGTGAAACACGTTATGCTCCCATGTACCCGCGTCAACTTTAAACAAGGACAAGGAGCGTGGTCGTGCTCTCAGGCACAATCGGTCAAAAATCGATTTTACTTAGATTTAGTTTGCGGCCAGGAATAATCACAGAAGAATTCCCAAGGAATTTTGGAGTTTAAACACATTGAGTATTTTAATTGGAAAACACCGCGCGTGTGCGTGTGCATTCCGCTGGAATGCATTGCTGCCTACTAGGGTATGAAGAGATGTACCTGTAGTCTATGCGTGTAGAAAACGGTTTATGGGAATTAAAGTCGTTCAGCATCAAGGAAGGCCGTGGACTAAAATAGATGACACGAATCGGCTGCTGGAATCTCGTAAGAACTAGAAAAAAAGTTGTGAAACTGCAAAAAATAGCCATTATAAGTGGCATTTAAACAGGTCTGCCCCTCAAACCCTCAGGTTTGGAGATAACGCCTTGTGTCAGTAAAAGTTAGAGCAGAAAAATATTATCCAAGACTCGCCTTGTGAATCCGCCAATGGGTAGGTATCTACTGTACGATGCGCGACCTCATTATCCAAGGGGGTTGGCAGCTTACATTCATCCAGTGAACTCGTTCGCATGACTACCGTGATCGTCACACACTCCTTCCGCTCCAACTCCATGGCCCCTCTGTCATCCTCACTGATAACATCTCTACACGCCGTCTCCGGCTTGGGTGCAGACTTTTGGACGACCGAGTTCTCCTCCAGTGCCATCGCCACGCACTTTTTCCGCCGCCCGCCGTTCCGCGTCGGAGCGGAGGCCGCCTCGCCCGAACAGCAGTACACCGGCGGTGGCTGCTGCGCCGTCAACGCCCTCAGTCCCCGCTTGTCCGACCTGAACAGGAGCATAGCCTCCAGCAGTTCGAAGATGAAGATGCAACTGAAGCCGATGAAGAGGGAGCAGAGACCGCCGATCTCCGAGAAGAGCTTCGCCAAGGAGTAGATCTCCTCCTCTGTGGCCACCTGGACGTTCTCACTGCGCAGCAGTTTCATCAGGGAGACATTGCTTGGCAGACCGGAGTCCGCCGGTCCAATCACCAGGGAGTTTTGTTTTATAAACTTCACCGTCACGCAGGGCATGGGACACTGGTCATAGAGGATGGGTGAGTCGGTGCACTCGTGTTTTTCACACTCCATGGCCGGACAGGTCTCAGTACCGGTGAAGAGTAGCCAGTCCATTGAACAGGTGCAGTTGCAGTTGCGTGCCACCTTATGGCAGCACACGGCCCAGCCACAGGCCTCACGGCTGTACAGCAGCTCCGTGTTGAATAGGCGTACCGTCAGGGAGCGGTCGACGGCACCGCCGCCGCCGGCGCCGCTGCCACCACCATCGTTGGTGGCGCCAGTGCCCCGGACTTCCTTGGATCCAACTCCAAAGACATTCTTCAGCACGGAGGCGCCCAAACTTTGGCCGGGCGGACTGAATGGTACGGTCAGCAGATAGGGCAGATTCGACGTGGGCCAGGCGCGCTGTTTCTTCAGACTCAATCGACGCTGGTCGAGGAAGTCCAGGAAGCGGACGCCTGCGTCGCCAGTCGTTGTCACCACGGTGGCATTATCCGCGTGGTTGCCGTCGGTCGGATCATCCGGACTGACCCGCGTGTTGGACATCCAAATAGCGTCGGGACCCTCGTGACAGGGGTTGCGAGCAGTGTTAATGCGTCGAGTGACGGACTTGGAGAAGTAAATTGAAATCTGGGTGGCGGGGGTGATCATGGTGTGGATGCTGCGATCATAGGCACTGAAGGGTAGCTCACCGCGCTCGTGGGTAATGATGGTGAAGGTGGCGCCACGGGGAATCTCCGCACCGACGGTGTTGGTGGCGATGGCTGCGGTGGTCATGTCCTGTGAGATCTCAACTTCAAGGTCAGACCAAGCGAGTTCAGGCTCGCTTGACGCCAGCTCAAAGGTGGTGCATATGAAACTGATCTTGTGTGGGACCTGTTAGCGAGCGGAAATATAACCATCCTATTAGGATTATTGGCATACTTGCACACTGTAAGATGAAAATGCTAAGTTAATTGTTGGGCAATGAGTGCGAAAGTTTAGAACGGAAACATTGACGATATGCACTATTCGCCATCTCAAATTACTTTACTACGTCAAACATTTATTTTATTCGGACAGCGAACCACGCACCAAACGACGACGTTGGGATGCAAATTCTCAAATGGGCACTCTAGGAAGTTGGAGAAATAAGTTAATTGAAAAAACATACTGCTTAAAAGAGGACGGCAAGTTTCAAAGGAACTCATTGCGATTCTCACCTTGCAAAATAACTAACAACTTTTACTTTCGAGACATTTTTTATACCTTGTATTCCCGGCGGGGTATCTGAAATTCTAATAAAACCTTTTTTGTTGTGGACTTTAATAAAACAACTTACGTCGCTTACCTTAGAAAAACTGCTTTCCTTGCGCAAAGACATTAAAAAATCCATTAATCAACCAAAATAGGACCAGCACGGCAGAATTATATAAGTTAAAACTTCCAACTTCATATACCATAGTTTTTGCGAACTGGTTGTTCTTTGTCTTGATCGAACAGAGCTAATTATGCGTTTAGTAAAAAACTCACAAAATAATTACTTAATACCTGCTTTATACAGCCAGTAAGCACTTTTTAGGGGTTTTACTGAACCATACAAAACACTGAATTGTAATCGCGCCTCTATAAAAATTTCATGCAAGAATTCAAAGCTTCAGACAAACAGAGCCCATGACTAAGTGGGCAAACCCACATCTTTTCAGTAAATTCGTTACTCTTGGCTTGTCCGCTGGCTGAAATAGTCACATGCTGTTTGAGTTATTCTTGTTTCCTTTGACCAACCAGAGAACAAGATACAATTGCTTCCCTTTTGAAATCCGTCACTGAGCCAGAATTACTTCAGTAATAAACAGAACGTACGATTATCTGCATAAAACAGTGAGCAAGTTTTTTTTGCTAGTCCCACTAGCGCAAAAGTTTGCTCGGATGAGGCCGCAAAGTGATCAGCTAGGGCCGAAACGAAATCGAATTTGGAATAACAAATAGACCAGAAGGAACCATCATAAGCTGGGTAGTGAGATAGAAATATCTACTGCCACGACTGTAAACGTCTGCATGCGCTCACCAGATCCCATGTCGTTGCGAACAAAGCATGCACGCCTCTTCGAGTTCTACTAGCCGATGTGTTTATGGGTAAGCTGCAGAAATTGCGGTAGGAAGGACTTGTATGGCCCTCTAACGAGGACGTAGGAATAGGTGTGTCTCTCCAGATAATCAAGGTGTCCGGAATGGACAAAATATCTTCATGTTCTAGCCTCAGAAATGACTATAGTAGAGAACTAAACCGTTTCCGTAATCTTGACCCTGACCATAAACCTATCATTTACTCTGCAATTGCTTCTATTTTCTACCTTGGCCTCAAACTTGCTATCGACTTACCTAATGGTTATCTTTATAAGTAAAAGAATGAATATTTTTATGCATGTTTTCCATGAAATATAATTGAATTTTCAAGGGCATCGAAAATCAATGGGAAAATTGCATACTACTTAAGTAGTCATTTTTTGCAGAGTATAGATCTTGCATGCAGTCGCAAATAAGTTACTTCGAAAGCCGACACCCTGAGGTAACTGGAGCATTATAGATTTATGCTGCATCATGATTAATTTTACAACACTACTTAATTTATCTTTTCGAAACGAAAACGCATTTCGAAATTTTGGTTGACATTTCATGAGTTAGCGCATCTACTGTAAACTGTTTTCCTAATCTTGACCCTGACCTTGGCCTCAAATCTGATATCGACTTACCTAGTGGTTATCTTTATATCTAGCCTCAAACCTAGCCAATTGCCTAACCCTAACCTTAAACCTAATTCTAATTCCTCTGGGCGTTGACTCAAAGCGGCCCATGTTATAGGCGTTTCCCGTTTGAATGCCCTGTTTAGAGGTCAGTTCGACCGAAATTTGAATAAGCTCAAACATTACGGTCGTTTCTTTGATGCACCCTTGAAATTGGCACCACAGAAATCAGCGTAGATACCATCTTAAATTCCGCAAATCAGGTGCATCTCTCAATCATGTTCGCGTGGAAGATGGAAATGGCTGGATTGCTCCCTTTCTTAGATGTCTTTTTAGACAGGAGACCTGATGGTGTCATTCGAATGAGGGCCCACCGGAAGAAAACTTGGTCTGGACCGCACATGAACGTTGGCAGTTTCGCATTTTTCTAACATGAAATAAATCTAGTCCGGCGCTTGGCGCAGTGAGCTGGAAAAATCTGCTCGACAGACGGCGCCGAGGGGGGGGGAGAATGTAGACATATTCAGGAAAATGGACACTCTGACAGATTTATGGCAGCGAATATCGCCGAAAGGCCGGAAGAACCCGAAGAGAAAATTCTGTTTCTCAAAGTCCCTTTTCGATGGAATGCTGCTAGAAAACGCCTAAGAAGACGCCTTGATCAAGCTATTGCATGAACCTGCCCAGCAGGAAGGCTTCGAATATTATTCTCTGCTAACCATATTTTACGCCTAGAAGGCAAGAGTAGGCTGCCACCCCTAGCCACCTTAATGCACACCTATTCCCTCACTTGCTACTATGGAGCAGGTTGTGTTGTTCGTACGAGTTGGCGACTATCCAAACAGATACGAGAATACTTCCCGACATTACTAGGAATTGGCGTAAATAGGAGAACAAACAGTGTTATTCTCGCGCATACCCTTCGTTACGAGCATTTTACGGGCTCCAGCAAAGATTTTCGTGTGATTTGCAGGGTTCCCTCGAGCTATCCTGGGCCATTGAGCCAGTGTCTGTTAGTAACAACAGACACGACTGCCATCAGGTTAGGAAAGACAGCCTTGTGCGCGCAGAAGAACCTCATTCAGATTCCGCACTTGCTGCGTGCAACCCTCTGCATCCTTCCGCTCTCATTCCACCTGTTATCTAAAACGAACCTTAATTGATTGCACTAATCGCTGCCATGTTTTGAACCACATCCTGTTCCTCTATAAATGCAGTGGCATGGCGAGAATTTATCGAAAGGAGGCATATGCTAACTAGCTAGTCTTCTAAAAACTAGGACATTGCGTGATACAAATGACCCAATATGCATTAGCAATGGAGAGAAATAGGACTGAATCTCAAGCTGAGCTTTGATTGTTGGGGAGCAATCACAGGCAGGATCGAGACGCAGGTGTCTATTGTGTAGATCGCGAGTCATTAGAGTCATGCCTTATCGGACCGCGCTTCGTAAACTGACGCAGTGACCTCCCACAAAAAGTTTGGAACATCGTTCTGCTAAGATGAACAAGCTGTGGTGGATAAGTAAGGTGCCAATTTCAGTAAGCTGACAGTCACGCTGCAACTGCTTTCTACTGTATCCCCCGTATGTCTGCCAGATTTATCTGACCGAATATACTGGCAACGGATTTGATACTAGTTCCAAACTACAAAAGAATGCAGTTCCTATTCCAGCGATCTTTTCTGACAGTTCCTTCTGTTCTTTAAGCAATGTTTACTAGGAAACAAGTACAGTGACTAAGGATCTCAAACTCGAAAAAGGAGTATAATTATAATACTCCTTTTCCGAGAATAAATACAAGGACGGCGTGAGTCTCTACCAGACGACCGAAAGAAAGCATGTTTTTTTTCGTAGTTTCTACAAAATATATTTGACTTTGCAAGACCATCAACAATTCATGGGGGAAAATGCATGATAATTAAGTACTCATTTTGTAACAGGCCTAGTTTCTACATGATATTAAAAGGCAATAAATTCAACAGCTATCCTCCTGCAAAGTTCTAAATATTATAGGATTATGATGCACGATAATCAGTAATACAACCGCGCCTAAGTAAACCTTTCCAATCGAAAACGCATTTTCGGAATCTCAGTCAACATTTCATGAGATCGGTCACTCACTGTAAAAACATACCCTAAACAAATGAAATTCAAAGTGACAACTGTTTCACATCCGCCGCCTTTGCATAGTTATCGAGTAAATATGCTGTTCTGGATATGTGTTGCGTAGGCTCTGAGGAAATTTTGGATAGATTACTAGCTTTTTTTCTAAAAATCTTTGCACAATTTGTGTCTAAAACACACCTTTTTCTTATCGATGTCAATAAACAAATCATTTTGCTGGACATCAGCTAAAAGCCAGCAGTTTTGACGTGGAAGATCTGAGTACTCCATAAACAAAGTCATTAGGTTCGTTGACTTGACGTCATTGCTAGCCTGTGTGACAAGTGCTTTGATACAAAATGCCCTAAGGAAAGGCATCGTAAAATATGCAACAGCTGTCTTAACTCAGAGAGGAAATCTGTAAGATGAGGCTGTATAAGGCTGTATGCCTTACCCACGTGGATGCACGTTATGGACATGTCAAAACAACTTCCCATGCAGCTCCTGAATGCAATTCAGTAATAATACTACCTGCCACACTGGAAGTAGGAACGATCGCCTCCAAGAAGCACTTGCATGCCTTTGAGAAGGAACAGAGCGGCGCTTTCAAGGAAGTACTTGTGAAGAAGGACGCACTATGATTGGAACAAGGTTGTTATTCGCCTGTTATTGCGGATTTGCACTGGAATATTTTAGTAAAAAGTAGTGAGCTGCGCAGATTTTGCAGTATTTACAGGATACTGTTGCCGTGGCTGTGGACTTCCACAGCCACATTCGCGTGTCTCGTGCCAAGGCAAAGTCAATTTTGTAAGATTATTTAGATACAAAAACGCCAAATGTTCAGACAAACTATCCTGAGGCTATTATTTATAGAAAACTGATTAGGTTAAAATAAATTCCCAAACGCCGCGATCTCACTGCCAGCAAACACCAAACGACACAAAAACCGATGCATTTCGAGAGGAGTTTATTTAGGATTCCGCCTTATCCCAACTGAAACCCCGAATGCTAATTACATGAGACCGAACACTTCCCTTACCGATGTACTCTGAATGTCCTTATAGTCGTCTTTATGCCAAGGCAAAGCCGATCGGAGAACTATATAATGTCTATAGGCATAACACTCTCGCCAGCGCACACGCCATTCTGCGTTCAAATTCGGACTTCAGCCTACCGCGGTCATTGCTTTTATTGAACGCCTTACAGTCCTCTCCTGTTGAGAGCTTAAAGTCTACCGTAGCAAAATAATAAATGCAGTAATCTGGGTGTTATATTCTTTATTACGGCAAACGAAGTTCCCTTTCTATGAAATATGCAGATTACGTAACCAAGGTAAAAGGAGGCTTAAATTAATTCTAGTAACCCGCGTTGTGAAGGTGAGGAAGCTAGTTTTTTATTTTATGATAACCCTATTTCCGGCACATTTTTATTACACTTTGCTGACGGCAAGATTTCCAGCACTCGATAATTATTGGAATTGTCAACGAGGCATACTAGAAATCACCCTGTGTCCGGTTATTACATACTTAGAATGGGCACAAAGCACTTTTGCTCTAACACAGAGTTATATAACACAATCAAAACTAAGGCGCCCAATCTTCCATAGTATGACAACGTTCCAAAAACGCGAACTTTCTGCTCAAAAAGTTGTCTTTGTCAGGCGTTGGCATGCAGTTTTTACATCCAAGCAGAAGGAAACCATCGGAAAAAATGACAGTGCCCCCTTTTTCATGAAGATTCGTTTTTGCCGTTGCAAAAATGCTCGTTACTGGCGGCTGAACCCGCTCAATAGTGCAAAATCGCATGCGTTTTCTCTGCAGTTTGAAGAAGAGTTCAATCTTGATATTTAAGCACACGTCTTCCGATTTCTCTTTAAGATGAAGTGAACTGATACCTCCTATTTTGTGGCTGTTGTATGTTCAACTAAATCAAAAAGACTCGACGCTAGAGAGGTGTCATATTGAAGCTTTGGCGTTCCAGCGTACCGCTCCCTATCTGAGGAACGGCTTAGGGGGGTTGGCGCAACGTCATTTTAACCTGGCGTCTATCCGGGGCAAAACGTCTCACGTTATACTATATGAAATATTTTGGGCAAATTTTACGAAACATGATGATAAATTTTAGCCTTGATTTCGGCGGTTCTTTGCATGAAAACGGAAGCTCAGGCGCCTGCGTTACCTGCTTACTTGCCTTGACATTAAATAGAACCCACGCATGCGTTTACATTAACTATTGTTAACCCAAAAAGTGAAAGCATGCAGCCGCAAACACCTGCTTACGTCTTCTTGCGGGTTTCAAACCGAAATTCACATCCTTATCCAATCCTGTTGAATCCATTCAAATATAAATACTAATGCCGTTATGTATGTCTATCCATTATTTACAATTCCATTAATACAGAATTTGCGCTAGGTTTAAGGTTTCCACCCTTTCTGATGAAATTTTGTTTAATTACGATTCCATTTAACCGAGCCTAAACAGAGTACTCGCAGAAGTCAGCAAAATCAGTTGCGTCCTCTTAACAGCGCTCATGATAAGCGCGCGTTTGATGAGTGGAAGGTGTACCGGTCACAGCATTAATTTGAAAGTGGAACAGTAGTCTCCGTGTGAGGACAAAATCGACAATCATCAAGGCAACCGAGTCTACTGCTATTACACAGCAATTACTGCAGTTTACAGATGTTATTTTACAAAATGCATTTCCGCGTATCTGATAAAAGAAACAGAAAGTGGAAAATTCATCTTTATCTGTTTAGACTTCTCCTTGGTTTAGCTTCAAAAACAACAGCCGGTTTCGGTTTTTCCCCATTGCAGCAAATACTTTAGCCTCAAATATATTTATAACGTACACTAGTTGAGGTAACTCATGAAATGTCAACAGAAATCCCGAAATGCGGTTTCGTTTTGAAATGATAAATTTAGTTGGGTTGTAAACCTAGTAATTATGCAGCACAATTCTATAACATTTCACTTACCTCAGGCTGCCGGCTTTCGAATAAATCTTCTTTCGACTGCATGCAAAAATTATATCCTCTGAAAATGACTACTTAAGTAGAGTGAATTTTTCTCATTTATTTTCGATGCCCCTAAATTTCCAATTATATTTCATGGAAAACATGCATAGAAATGTTAATTATGTTGCTCATTCGGTAAAAATTACGTTTACTTCTAATGTTATACTCGAAGGAGGTACAATATTCGGTTTTAAAGAAGTTTCTAATTGTGAAACTTTTAAATACCGTGAGATGGCCGTCTATAAATCGTCGTGTCCCTGCATTTAGCAATGAGGCTTGTAAAGTTACCAATATGGATCAAATCCACTGCTGAATTGTATAAACCCTGTTTTTCTCCTTTATTACCGAAGAGAAATGTGGGGTTTTCCGTACGCGGAAACTATACGGCTTGTAGTTTCGAAACCCTGAATCCAAAGGTGACGGTAGAGCAAGTTCAAAATTACTCGGGAATGGAAAAGTTTTTGAAATCCAAATATTACCATTCCTTCGAGTATAATATTGGAAAAACATTTATTTTTCTACCGAGTGAGCAATAGAAGGAGTAGTTTATGCATATTTTCCATAAAATATAACTGGACTTAAAAAGGCATCGAAAATCGATGAGAAAAATGCATGCCTCGTAAGTAGCCATTTTTTACAGAATATATTTTCAGCATTAAACCGAAAGTAAGTTTTATTCGAAAGCCGGCACCCTGCGGTAACTGAAATTTTATAGAATTATTCTGCATGATTATTTGTTTTACAAAGCTACTAAGTAATGTTTTGGAAACTGAAACGCTTTTCGGAATTTCGGTTAACATTTCATGAGTTAGCCCACCCACTGTAGGTTAGGCCTTGCCTACATGTGGAGTGCCACGGGTCTTTTGCTCACAATAGAAGGATTGGAAAAAGCAGTTCCACACCAGTTCTCAATAAAGCGTACGCACAGCTACCTGGTTTAGCAAATAACGTACCTGCTCTAAAACAAAAATCTGATAGGCGGCCTCCAAGTGCGCCGGTTTAACTCGAAATTGCACCGAAAAGTTGTGCAACTTGCGATAGATGGGCGATTTCGCCGTCTGCCAGGTGTCCCACTTTAACTTCCCCCGCGGCAGATGGTGACCAATGACCCCTGGGGGCTCCTGCGTTGCGTCCGCTATCAGCTTCAACAACGCCACAGTAATGGGTGGATACTCCCAGGGCGGAATGACATTCGTCTCCGGCCAGCCGTTGGCCTTTGAGGCGTGCTTAAACAGACGCAGCATCTCCTTGCCCTCGGGGCAGATGGTGATGCCGGGAGTCTGATCGTAGACCGTGTGACGACCCGAGTAGTCCAGCTGGAAGACAGTCTGGTGTTTGGAGTACTGCAGTGTCACCAGCGTTATGCAGATGCACAGACCCATGAACATGGCAGCTGTGATGGTGACCCAGATGATGCGTTGAGTGCGAGTCCGTGCGCTGGCGATTTTCGCCAACGGCACCAACGAGCTCTGACTGAAGACCTTGGAGTAGAAGCTCATGCCTGCCCTGTGTGACTGTGGCGGGCGCCCAGCTGTGCGAGCGAGCGGTCGTGCGCGCGTGTAGTGGTTGTCACTGGAGGCGTGGCAGCCGACTGACCAATTCGTCACGAGGTCTCAGCCAATGGCATGCCGCCTGCGGACGCGTCAGTGCGGCCAGACAGCGTCTGTGGACGGAGCATTATCGCCGCCCGGATTCCACCTGTCTCCGGATTTCTGAAACGCCTTCAAGAGGAGTCCATAAAAGCACACTTGTGGACCGGAAGGTCTTAGCTCAATTCTCATTTAGCGGCGCTCCTCTCATCCTGCAATTAGTCGCTAGGACACACTCCTTAAGTGAGTTTATTTGCGAGCACATGAGAGGCGACAGTAACCATATCTAATGTCCTGTGGGCTAAAAAAAGAGTATTAGCCGCGCAAAACTGCGTTAAGACCAACTTTCAGCAAGAGGCGGGCACAAAAAACTTTAATTTCTCCTTTGACTTTACAAATAAAATTGGCATAATGTTGCGCGGAACGCAGTTATTATCAAAACGATATCAACTCTCAAGTGCGTCTGGTTGTAAATTAAGATGATTCTAAAATAAAGCAGTAGGGCCGCGATCTAACTTTTGGTAAGCCTTCACAAACCTTATGGGTACGTCGTATTCTCTTGTCAGAAAATATCCTGCATGTCGCGCAATACAGAAAACCATTTCATACGCTCAGATGCATAAACGTGATGACCAGGGAAAGTGGGTGAACACTATGGTAGTCCCGAGACAAAACGTTAGTTCATGTAACGGCGTAAGTGTTCAAGTCATGCCTAACGAGGCCTGAATCATGAATGCGTGAATAACAAACGGTGGAATTGAGAGGAACCTGAATACCCAAAGTCAGCATTTACGCCGACCTGAGGGGTCAGTAGTTGAATACTGTACATAAATCTCCTTCATCTTACAAAGCCCTGAGAACTCTGACCGGATGTAATGACAAGATCGTTCGACAGTCCTGTCCTGCGATGCCGAAGTAGTTACCTTGAATTTGCTCTGTGTTGGGAGAATTACCGGAGTGCGAGAAATATGCATGCATTAAATTCTGTGTGTATTTAGAAGATTCTGGAATACGGCTGACAGCTGCATCAAAATGGACGGAAATCGTGTAAGAAGTTGACGATAAAAAATCACGTCAGGAATTCCCAGCAGTTTAAACGGCAAGGAAATGGTTTATAACCGGGGTTACTTACTTCTAGGAACAATTATGCTAAAAGAAAACTGGCGATATTTGTCTGTACGTCCCAGAGAACGGAATAAAAGGAACTCCCGTTGACTATTGTTATCTAGTTCGAGAATAAGTATATTTTGATATCATTGTGTGGCTTTATGCATATCACTGAATCTGATTGTTCCTGAAGCGTCAAACGGCAATAGAGGAGGCAGAGAATTCCGACAACGTTCATTAATAGGTGAAGATCTAATACACTACGGGACAGACG